TTACCCAGAAGCTCCGGGCCTTCCCCCCGAACCTGTCGCCGAAATCGACCCATACTGGGCAACACGCGGCACCAGCTGGGGCGGACCTCCTCTCCCGGACCAGTATGATCCTGACACACCAGAGCACGTGCAAGAAGAGTCATAAGAAGAAGCAACTTACGAGTTCTTCGAAGGAGCAGTGGACCTACCAGAACCTACTGAGGAAGCGCCGCCGCCAGAGCAAGGACCACAACAAATTGAGGTCATCGGCGACGAGTACAGTTATTTTCGCATCCCCATGACAGGGCTTCCCGCCTCCGATTGGCCCACAGCACCATCATCTTCGTATTTGCTCGTCACCGGCGAGCAAGTCCACGCCGCTGACACAGATGACATCATCGGAATTCCCGACGCCCTCCTCGAACGACACTCCGTTCGAGCCTTCGCAGCAGACGCCAACGCCGCCGGCGACAAGGGACCTGAAAAGAAGCAGAACGACGAAGCAGAAAGGCACAAATATTATCAGAAGACCGTCGGATATCGTGCGGAACCGGAAACTTGGCACAAGCGACTTGGACACCCATCACACACCACGCTCAAGAATTCTCTCCAGACCGGTGTCTTTGACGACAACGCGCTGCTCCTTCGATGAGGAGGCTCCCTCACAGCGGAATCAGCTGCACCATGTGCCCGACTGCGTCACTTGCCCACAAACCCTTTCCCGACTTACCTCCCGGCTACGAACGCTACAAGCCGCTCGATAAAGTATACAGCGACTTCCTGGTTCTCAGTCAAGAAGGGCTCGACGGCGAGTATTACACGCTCACGTTCATCGACGCGTGCACACGCCACGCCTGGGCCGTCAACACCGACTACCGTTCTCTCGCCTTCGAGTGTTTCGTGGCATGGATAAAGCGGGCTGAACGCCAATCTGGACTGAAGCTGAAAACCTACCAGACAGACGGTGGTTTGGAGTTCTTCTCAACTGAGTTCAAGGAACTCTTCAAGCAGAAGGGGATTGAGCACCTGGTGTCCCTGCCCTACGCTCACGAGCAGCAAGGTGTAGCAGAACGGACAAACAGGAGCCTCGCCACAAGGATGAGGGCCCTGATGAAGCAGTCAGCCGTGCCAACCAAATACTGGCCGTTCGCGATGAACCACGCAGTCCGGCTGCACAACTTGCTGTCCTCCCGAAGCCTCGAGAACAACAACTCTCCCTACAGGGCTTGGACGGGCAGAAAAGCGGACACACGTCTGCTTCGAGTGTTTGGCTGCATGGTACAGTACATGCCACACACAGCAAGGACCGGAAAATTTGCTGATCGGGCACGCTGGGGCATCCACCTCGGGATCGAGAAAGAATACAAGGCGTGGATCGTGCTGGACTACGCAACACACGAAGTCACAAAATCACGTGACTGCATCTTCTACGAGAAGCTGACTCTGCCACTGTTCAAGGAGCACCGCGAAGCTGACAGGGCACCGGAAAGGGTTTTTGAGGGACACCGCAGCTTCGCAACTCCACACGATGTAGCTGACCTGGCAGAAGATGCTGATGCAGCAGATGTCACCCAATTTGACAGCCCACCCAATATCCCCCTTACAAGCCCGTTCCAGACTCCGACATTCATCCCTGTGCACCAATTTGATCCCAACGATACAACTCGTGAAGCCCACAACTACAACAGTGCAGCGCGCCGATCACCAGATGCCGAGTTACCACCACCAAACACCTCGCAAGACACCCTCCGCCTCGGCAACGAAAGTGACGACGACGTCGTCGAAGTAACCAGTTTTCACGACTACGATCGCCTCCACTACGAAAAGACCAACGAAACCGGTCTCCGCATCCTAGGACTCGCTGTCGCTGTTCGCCACGCCTCCCCCAAGGAACCTACCACCGTTCGCCAAGCCTTGTCTGGCCCCGACAGTGAAAAATGGAAGCCAGCCATGGCAGCGGAAGTCGTGGCACTGAAGAGCCGCGGAATGTGGAAGCTGGTTCCACGATCATCAGCGAAGGGGAGAAAAATTCTCAGCGGAAAATGGGTCTTCCGAATCAAAACACTTGCAGATGGCTCCATCAACAAGTACAAGGCGAGATGGGTGGTACGCGGCTTCGAGCAAACCCACATGGTGGATTTCGACCTCACCTACGCGCCCGTCGGAAGACACACCTCGGTGCGCATCCTCATTTGCATCGCAGCCGTTAAACAGCGCCCGCTCCGTCAAATCGACATCGGAAGTGCATTTCTGTACGCTCCCGTCGACGCCATCATCTTCGTCGAGCAGCCGCATGCCTTCGAGGACGCCGACGGCGCCGTCTGCCTCCTTCAAAAATCCCTCTATGGGATCAAACAGGCGCCTCGACTGTGGCAGCAGTACCTGCACACCGTCCTGACGAAGCTCGGATTCACTCAACTGCCGCATGATCTCGGAATGTACCGCAAGGAGTCGCGTGGCAAGTTCATCCTTCTTGTCGCCTACGTCGACGACCTACTCTACACCGGCGACGACACGGAGCTGCTGGATCGGTTTGAGGCAGATATCAAAGAGAAGCTTGAAGTGACCATCAACCACAACGTCACATAATTTCTGGGCCTCAACATCTCCTAATCCGCCACCTCCATCCACCTCTCCGCCGCTAAATACGCGGAAACACTAGCGAAGAAGTTCACTGTCGCCCCGATCAACCTCACCACTCCCTTCCGCACTCCTCCTCCTAACCACGAACCCGACACCACACCGCTCTCCATCGAGGACCACCGGCTCTATCAGCAGCAGCTGGGGTGTCTCTTGTTCGCCGCCGTCACGTGCCGGCCCGATCTCTCCTACGTCGCAAGCCAGCTCGCACAGTTCCTGAAGCGACCTGAAGGGGAGAATCTTCTGGATCTACGCCGAGCACTTCAATACTTCGTCTCTACTCCTGACGTCAGACTCACCTACGAAGCTAACCTCACCGCTACTCTACAGCTTCACGGCTACGTTGACGCAGACCACGCGGGAGACATTGACAACAGACGCTCCCGCACAGGATTCATTTTTTAACTCCAACCTGCTGGACTCATCTCTTGGAACTCCCAGAAGCAGGAGCTCATTGCACTTTCGTCAGCCGAAGCTGAGTTCATCGCCGCCAGCGCAGCTGTTCGCGAAGGACTGTATCTGATGGAGCTCCTGCAGGAAGCGAAAGTGACGATGAACGGGCATTTCACGTTACTCTGCGACAATCAGAGCGCGATCAAGATCGCGAACAAGCCCGGCTTCGTGAACCGCACGAAACACACCGCACCCCGTTACTTCTTCGTCAAGGACGAGATCGACAAGGGCAAGGTCAAACTCACGTACTGCCCAACTGGTGACATGGCAGCAGATTTCTTGACCAAGAAGCTACCACGTCAGAAGTTCCAGCACTGCACCGACCTCCGCGGGATCTCGAACAGGTGTAAATCACCCTGATACCCTGATTATCAGGGTGGTTTTTGGTAGTCACACTGATGGCCTAGGGTAATTTTTTGTGGAGCTAGGATTTTCCTGATATGCCAGGGTTTTTGGTAGGCACACTGATGCCTCAGGGTTACCGTTCTTCATAACGAGTTTTACCCTGAAGCGAGTACCATACCCCCCCCCCCCCCACTTCCCCCACCCCCCCCTTTCCCGTAACCCGGGATTCCCGATTGCCAACTGTCGAAACCGGAATTTCAGCCTGCTGAAGTAACTGACGACGAGCAACACCCATGTGGCATGTATGATGATCTAAAAATTTTCTGTGTGCAACGATAATATCAATTCATCAGGGTTTGCTAAACTGGTACACTGATGCCACAGGGTTGGATTTTCAAAAACAGGAAAAGCACTGATGGATCAGGGTTTGAAGAAGGTGTCACACTGATAATCAGGTTTTTGAACAGGTGCAACACTGATCACAAGGGTTGCTAAAAAAAAAAAATAGCCCTGATCTCGAAGAAATCCCACGTGGCTCACCTTCAGGAATGAAGGGGAGTGTTGGAATAACCGAAAGGTTATAGTAACATTCCCGAAGGATCTCCACTCACGCGTCACTTCATAACGAAGCAACGCGTCTGTACCAGTACCGCAATAGCTCATATAGAGCATGCGGAAGATCAAGAGTCACCCGAAGGTCAACAGTCGAAGACAGTCAACGGTCGTGACTCTTGACCATCCAGTAACCGCACTTGGTAGTTACGCGATGCAACATGGTAACTGTCGAGAAGAGCAATAGTCGTGGTTACTGTAGCAATGCAATTCAGTTAATAAGGGAATGTACCCCTCAGAGTACATGGCTAGCTAGCAGGGGTTTTTTTTCGTTTTTCACTACTCGGATTTTCAGGGTTGTTTTTTTGGAAACTCTGTAAATCAGGGTTGATCGTTACTTTGATTTGTCAGAGGAAACTTAACTTCTGAAAAAAAAATCCAGTGCAGACTGTGTAATTATTTTCTCTACTCTCCAAGTATTGAACCCTGCACCTTCGCGTCCCAAACAAAATGCTTAGACCATTGTGCTAACTCTATGCGTTAAACGTACATTACGTACTGTTATGGACTTGTTCTTTTGTTCCGCGTGACTCACCATCTGACGCTGGCAAACAAGGGGGGTTCGCTCGGGGCGCTTGTACCCTGTACAGAGGAAATGGTAAACTCCTGAAAATTACACAGGCATCAGAGTCCCTTACAAGATTACTCTGACAAATCAGAGTAAAAGTAACTCCCAAAAAATTTACCCAGCAAGTACAGAGTACCCTATCAAAAACCACCCTGATTTTCAGAGAAACAGAGTAATTTACTCTGATAAAATAAGCCCTGCTAGCTAGGATTGCTATTTATACCCTTGTACTCCTATCATATATTTATCTTGTTTTCTTTCAACTTTATTAACAAGGTGATTACAGAGACTTCATTGTCTTCTCTCAAACTTGACAGACTTATCCTGTCCACTACGATCCTTAGTTATAACAACACCAATGACTGTGGTAGTAGCACGGTAATACAAACCATCGACTTATTACTTAGTACAACACCCTTCGGTTAGCACGGTAGTCCATTCTAGACCCCTTCGACAATTGCTCACTTCTCATCTCGATCTCCCTCATCAACACGTGCTCCGGTGCTGGATAATACTTCCACCTCACCTCCTCCATTTGCCCCTCCCTCAAGGCTTCCTTAGCAGGCACCACATACACTCGCCAAAACTCCTCTAGTGCAGTGAATAGTAGCTCCCAGTACTGTTTGTCTCGTTCCACCCTGAACAGTGCAGTGCCGCCCATTTCAGTCCACACGAAAAAATCCAGCCAATCTCGGTCAAAGATTTCTAGCAGGCCTTGGATCTGGGGCATGTAGTAGACCGGTACGGAGGGGTACGGAGTGGCTGAGAGTGGTGACCCGCGGTTAAAGGGGCACTTGATTTCGAGAACGCCAGGTGATTGGGGGGAGGAGTGAAAGCAGAGCCGGTCGGAGGGGAGGAGGCCATCTGGGGAAGCACCGAGCCAGGAGAAGGCCGGGTCTTCGTGCTTGTAGATCTGATGTGGGGAAGAGGGAGAGAGAGAGGGAGAGGGAGAGGGAGAGGGAGAGGGAGAGGGAGAGGGAGAGGGAGAGGGAGAGGGAGAGGGAGAGAGGGAGAGGGAGAGGGAGAGGGAGAGGGAGAGGTGGAGGGAGAGAGATGAGGGGAAGAGGGACAGGCAGGGTGTAGCTGTTAAAGGTAGTGGTAATGATGTTTAGGATGCTATTGTTACTCACCTGCATGTCTGTACTTTTCAGGAACTAATGCAAAGGACCGTTTGAGGGGAAGAGAGATGGGCAGGGGGGCAGCAACAAGGACGAGAGGCACAGAAGGCCTCACCTACAACTCCCTTACCCCACGCACAGCCATACCTGAAAGGACTTACGCTCCACTTTCCCGCCTATAATCCGCTCATACGCCATCAGAGCCTCCCCCTCCTTCTCCTGCCCCCAGTCCGTCGCTGCATTCCCGGCAAACGGCACTTTCAGACCCAGCTTTTCCTCCCACAGCTGTTGCCGCCCCCCTGGAAAGAACCCCACCGCCGTCGCAAACGCACTGGCTGTCAGCCTGGCCCGTAGCGCATACCACTCCGCTGTGCGCTGCTCCTCGCCGCCCTTGTCCAGATTCACCGTATCTTCCTCCTGCCCGGTTACCACCGTTGCTGCGGTTCCCGTTGGTGGTATGATCAGCGCTGGTTTCTCGGGCAAAAGCAGTCCTGGTTTGCTGTGAGGAAAACCCTCTTGAGTGGTATCGCTCCCTTGACGCATTTCCCCTGCCTTGGACTCTCCCCCATCTAATGATGATGATAGTGATGATGGTGATGGTGATGATGGTGATGGTGATGATGGTGATGGTGCTGCTGGTGTGGCTTTCGGCCAGAGTAACTGTGCTTTCATTGGAGGCGCTTTGAATGCAGGTGGTAGTGTTCCGCTGCGAATGATCGCCAGCTGCTGCTTCACATACTGCCAGCGCTCTGTGGTAAAGTGGGGAGAACGAAGAAAGGCACGGTGTTGGGGAAATCAGGTGGTGGCGGTATTTGGCTGCGAATGATCGCCAGCTGCTGCTTCACATACTGCCAGCGCTCTGCCGTGGGGAAGGTCAGGTGAAGCAAGGAGCGAAGGAAGGAGAATAACCAAGTGGATGGGAGAGAAAGGGGAAAGAAGCGAAGGGTAACGCAATGGTGGCGGTTTTTAGCACTTGGTTCTGGAGGGAAATACCGCCAGCTGCTGCTGCTGCTGCTGCACGTACTCCCAACGCTCTGCTGCGAAGAAAGAAGGTCAGAATGACAAAGGGAGACACTGCAAATGCGTCCTATTCTGAGAGGGCCTTGTGTCGTTGCTTTCATCTCCCCTTGTGATTGCTCCCAACGCTCTGCAGTGGAGGGATTTGGGATAACGAGGAAAGGAAAATTACCAAGTGGTGAGACAGGAGGAAAAGTTCGAGGGAGTGGTGGTGGTGTGGATGATCGCCATCGTTCTGCTGTTGCGTATACTTCCAGAGCTCTGCAACGCGGAGAAGAAGGAAGGAAGAGAACCAAGAGAACGCTCAAAACATACAGATCTCAGACAACCATAAATGAGGAGGTGGAGGAAGGAAGGGAGGCAGGCAGAAGCAGGATTGGCACAAGGGCAGCAATCAATGGTGAATCGCGGACGCCGAAAGAATGGGAAGAAGGGATGCAAGGGGTCCTTTACCTGCTGGGATGACGATGTTCCCTCGGCCTCTGTTCATCACTACCCCTTGCACCCCTCCCGTTCTTCCAGGAACCTCCATTCTTTCATCCTCCCTCCTTCCAGCCTCCCTTCCGGTCCCGTCCCTCTCAGCTTCTCTCCTCTCGTCGTCCCTCACTTCGAGTCCCGCCCCTTGCCTCTCCTCCCCTTGCCTCCCCTCCCCCTGCCTCTCCTCCTCCTGCATCCCCTCCCCCTGCATCCCCTCCCTCTGCCTCTCGCCATCCTGCTTTTCCTCTTCCTGTCGTTCTTCCTCTGAAGCAGCTGCAGCGGCGCGACTCCACACTCCCCGTTCAAACCTCGTCATACCCGTTACAAGCACTCCCGTTGCTTCAGCACGGACGGCAGCAGGCGGCGAGGGGAGCGACGGCGGGGCGCGGCGGGGGGCGGAAAAGGCTCTGCGAAACGGCTCTGGGGTTGCGGCGACATCTGGGCTGTGCGGGTTACCAGCGCGCGGAAGGCCAGGGGTTACGTTTCGACTAACACTACGGGGATCATGCTCTGTAGCTCCACTTTGGTCGATAGTGCTGCTGCGGACCTTGTCGCGACCCCAGGGATCTTCCCGCCGGCCCACATGCGCGGATCGCCCAGTCCCGTTTCGCCACGTATCACGGGAGACATTGCCGGCGCCGGCCGTCACCGTCCCGGTCCATTTCCGTCTGCCGGCGGCCAGCAGAACGAAACGCGGCTGCATACTATCAAAGGGGCCGACGTCGAATCTCGAACGTATCTGATGCGGTTTTATCTGTTGCCGTATCGAATCAAATCGTAATCGTGCGCAGTCGGGCAAAAAAGCTCGGCGCGCTACTAGCGAAGCTCGGCTGGTGACTGGCGAACCTTTTAGCAGCTGCTCTGATAGCCCAGTCATTTCATTGGCTAGGCGGTCCAAGAAGTTACCGAGAGAGCGTCAGCAGGCAGACAGCTCGCTACAAGAGCCCAACACACTGATCATGACGGTGAAACTGGGAAGAGTGCGTTGGGAACTCCACGATTCGCCAACTTCTCTGTTCCAAGAAATGCTTGAGATGGGGGAACAAGTGTCAAAAATGGCGGGAAAAAGTGGATCGATTTGGGTATTTGAACGAACATCCTGCTTACAGTGCACCTCGTTGAACAAAGAAACATTTGATAACCCCAGAGCTAACAGATACTGGATTGGTTCCACCAAATCCTTTTCGAACGCGACGAAATGCACTCAACCGCACTGAAGAAGACGATTTTGCAATTGCAGCAATGGGACTGGCTGAAAGAGGTTTCTTTGACACCAAGCTGAGACCGAGGCCGAACTGAAACTTCTCCGTCACGCCACGGCCTCTCCGTTTCTGCAAGACGCCGTCTGCTGCCACTTTGGATCAATCAGGGTAAGCGCAAGCTCGCCGATTAGGCTTTCTGTTTCAGTCTCTCGCTGCCCCTCCGCGCCCTCCTCTGCCGACCCCGAATTCGCTCATGCTAGAACACACTCTCGTGCAAAATTCACGTCGTGAAATCCGTATCGTGAGCGAGTAAAGTTGGTTTCGCGAAGTGCTGTCGCGAACTTCGATCCGGGGCGGGGATTCACCTTTCGGTGAGGCTTCTCGGAGCAGGCTTCGGTGTGACCAACAACAGATCACCTGATCCTAGTAGCATCTGTCGGTGCCCGCCTGCCTGCTCCCGCCTGCCTGCTTCCGCCTGCCTGCCTCCGTCTCCGTTTTCCCGCTTCCTCCCAAACCACCCACTGCGATTCACTCGTGCACGCAAAGTTTCGCATCTTTTAGCACCGCAATGGACCTGCGAGAAACGGTTTCGCTGCCCCTGCCTCCGTCGCTCCGCTCGCGCCTCCTCGCCGCCGGCTTTCTCACAGTCGCTGACTTCCACACGCTCAAACCGGAGGACCTCGCGCGCGGTGAGTGTGCGAGCGCGAGAGAGAGTCTGTAATCATGCAGCTTGCAATGGCTTGCAATGCAACTTAGCGGTCATTCTCTTGCAGCCGGCTTTCTCACAGTCGCGGACGTCCCCACGCTCTAACCGGAGGACCTCGCTCTTCAAAACACTTACCGCTGTGGGGTTTTTTTTAGAACACTCAAGCGTATGGAAACTGGATTATCTCGCCAGCTGTAAGCGCAAGAGTACTTTTTACTTTCGCTTGTGCGATGTGCTTCCGTGATGGGCCTTGGGATGCGCAGTGGGCAGCATTCGAGCCGGATTGCGCGAGCCGCTTTGGTTTGCTTCTCATTCTCTCGTACACGCCCGATTCCCCACCCCCCCAGATGTGTCTCTGTCCCCGGAGGATGCGAGCATGTGCTGGGGGTGGCAGCGGGCAGCAAATGCATGCACGTCTCAGCAAGCTTGCCTCCAAGTCCTTCCCATGCTCCCACTGAACCCGGCCCATCTCCACCCTCTCCCCCCCCACATCTTTCACACACCAGATGCGTCTCTCTCTCTCGAGGACGCCAGGCATGTGCTGGGCGTGGCAGCGGGCAGCATTCAGACGAGCATCATTCCCACAGCTGCTGGCATTGCAGGTATGTATGTGTGTGTGTGCGTTCTGCGCAGCAGCATCAGTCCTCGTGTGTGGACTCCGTTGCATTGCAGGTCACACCACACCACACCACACCACACCACACCACACCACACCACACCACACCACACCACACCGCACCACACCATGAAGCACCACACCACACCATTTCTTTCTACCACAGAGCACCGCACACACTATGTCAATCCAAACTTGCCTCTATGTGCTGGGCTGGGCTGTCTGTGGGCTTCATCCCGCAAATGCCACCTCCTCTCCGCCTTACTCAACCACTGAGCACACTTGCAGATTGGAGCAAAGGTTGGAGAAACCTGCCCCTAGCAGCTCCTGTGTTTCCCGTCCATTCCCTTGCATTGCATGTGCTAGTGCGTGATCAGCATGCGAGATGTTAAATGTGGGGAGGGAAGATAGGCAGGGTGCAGACGATGTGGAGCACTGAGTGCAGTCAGCATGGTCGCCTCTTCTCTTCCGTGTGCAAGGGGCTCTATCCGCGTGGGGGCTATTGGAGGCGGACAGGGGCAGAGGGAGGGTGCAGTTCATGTGTGCTGAATGTAGCATTGAAGCAATGTGTGTGTATTGTATGTCTGCAGGAGCGCGATCCGCGACGTGTGCCCAGTGAATGCACGGTCGCCTCTTCTCTTCTCTTCGCCCCAGTGTATTTGTATTGTATATATGCATGCAGGAGCGCGATCCGCGTGGGGTCTACTGCAGGTGACGAGGGGCAGGGGGTGCAGACGATGTGTGGTGCGCTGGATGCACTGACTGCATGTGCGTCTCTTGCATCCGCATTTGTTTTCCATGCATGCAGGTGCACGATCAGCACGGGAGCTTCTAGAAGCGGAGAGGGGCAGGGGTAGGGTGCAGACGATGTGTGCTGTATGAATGAAGCACTGAATGCATGTGCATCTCTCCCATTCCATCTGCATCTGTGTTGCATGCGTGCAGGAGCTCGATCCGCGTGGGAGTTGCTAGAGGCGGAGAGGGGCAGGGGGAGGGTGCAGACCATGTGTGCTGAGCTGGATGCGATGCTGGGAGGGGGAGTGGCTCTGCAGGAACTCACCGAGATATGTGAGTGGAGTGTGGTGTGGTGCGGTGCAGTGCTGTGGTGTGAGATGTCGTCACGTGCAGTGTGGTGGTGTGCGGTGCTTTATGTGATTCTATGAAGTAAGTGTGGAGAGGGAGGGAGGTCGGGTGCATTGGATGCGATGCTGAGAGGGGGTGTGGCTCTGCAGGAACTCACAGCGATATGTGAGTGGGATGTGGTGCGGTGCTGTGCATTGCGGGAGTGTGTTGTGGTGCGATGTTGTGCAGTGTGGTGGTGTGCGGTGCGTGGTGCGACCGTATGGAGTGCTTGTGGAGAGGGAGGAAGGGCGCGTGTGCGTTGGATGCGAAACTGGGAGGGTTTGTGGCTCTGTAGGAACTCACAGAGATATGTGAGTGGGATATAGCGTGGTGGTGTGCGGTCCGGTGGTGTGTGGAACAGTTGTATGGAGTACGTATGGGTTTGGGAGGGGTGTGGTGTGGTGCCGCAGGAACCGACCCACATGTTCAAGTACTATCTAGAGCAGATTCGTCTTGTTTGTGATGTGTAAATTCTTGTTTTTATTGCCAACAACATGAATGTAAAGGCCTCTATGGGATTTGTAGGAATCACAGAGTGATCGATCCTAGTCTGGACATGCGTTGAGCAGTTCCTGTCTCGTCATTTGTCTCGATTTGTTGTTTCCAGGTGGGCCGCCAGGAGTTGGCAAGACACAGCTGGGGTAAGGCTGGGCTGGGATGGGATGGATGGGATGGGATGGATGGGATGGGATGGATGGGATGGGATGGATGGGATGGGATGGATGGGATGGGATGGATGGGATGGATGGGATGGATGGGATGGATGGGATGGATGGGATGGATGGGATGGATGGGATGGATGGGATGGATGGGATGGATGGGATGGATGGGATGGATGGGATGGATGGGATGGATGGGATGGATGGGATGGATGGGATGGATGGGATGGATGGGATGGATGGGATGGATGGGATGGATGGGATGGATGGGATGGGATGGGATGGATGGGATGGATGGGATGGATGGGATGGGATGGGATGGGATGGGATGGGATGGGATGGGATGGGATGGGATGGGATGGGATGGGATGGGATGGGATGGGATGGGATGGGATGGGATGGGATGGGATGGGATGGGATGGGATGGGATGGGATGGGTTGGGATGGGTTGGGATGGGATGGGATGGGATGGGATGGGATGGGATGGGATGGGATGGGATGGGATGGGATGGGATGGGATGGGATGGGATGGGATGGGATGGGATGGGATGGATGGGATGCGGCTGATTTGGTGTTCGCGCTGGCAGCAAGGTGACCTGGAGTTGATGAGATAGTTTGGCTCTCTCGCTTCTGGCTCTGATATCTCTCTTGGTGTTATTGTTGCTGTTGTGTCTCCGAGACAGCATGCCGCTTGCTATCAACGTGCAGACGCCTTACTCTTGCCCCCCCAGCCCCCAATGCATCTCCACATAATGTCTTCACATTATCTCTGTTATCATCTTTATTGTAGCATGCAGCTGGCTATCAACGTGCAGACGCCTGCTGTGCTGGGAGGGGTGGAGGGCGAAGCAGTCTACATTGGTGAGACTCGCCCTCCCTCTCCCCTCACCATCTCTTCTCATTCAATGCATGCCAGTTCAGTCAAATCTGCATGCAATCTCAATCGAATCCACACGCAATCTCCATCGGCTCTGCTTACAAGTCTCTCAACCTATCACATCACATCACACTGTCCTCCAGACACAGAAGGGAGCTTCATGGTGGAACGGGCAGCAGAGATGGCCGATGCATGGGTGGCTCACTGCAACGCTGCTGCCGCTGCCATAGATGCACCTGCCCGAGATACCACCGCCCCCGGTCAAGCCTCCCTCCACCAGCAGTTCCAACACCAGCAGCAGCAGCAGCACTCGCATCACTCACAGCACTCGCAGCAGCAGTTTCAACAACAACACCAACAGCCGCATAACCGCTCGCAGCAGCAGCAGCACATGTTTCCGAATGCACCGGGGGCAGTGTCAGCAGCAGTGGCATCCAAGGCATCGAGAGCAGCAGCGCTGGCAGGAGTGCATTACCTGCGAGTTTATGACCACACGGAGCAGACTGCTCTCGTGCACTCACTGCCGCACCTGCTCGCCCTGCACCCCAAGGTGCGTGCTGTGTCGGTGGCATGTTGATTAGCAGCAGCGCTGGTAGGGGTGCATTACCTGCGGGTGTATGACCACACTGAGCAGTCTGCTCTCGTGCACTCACTGCCTCATCTTCTGGCTTTGTACCCCAAGGTGTGTGCTATGCTGCCACTTGTGTGCATGGGTGGCATCGGCAGCAGCAGCGCTGGCAGGGGTGCATTACCTGCGAGTGTATGACCACACGGAACAGACAGCCCTCGTCCATTCCCTGCCCCATCTTCTGGCTTTGCACCCCAAGGTGAGTAATAGGCTGCCACTTGTGTGCATGGTGGCATGGGTATCATCACCAGCACTGGCAGGAGTGCATGGGTGGCATTGGCAGCAGCAGCGCTGGCAGGGGTGCATTACCTGCGAGTGTATGATCACACGGAGCAGACTGCCCTCGTGCACTCCCTGCCACACCTACTTGCTCTGCACCCCAAGGTACGTAGTGGTTGGGCATGCATGGGTGGCACTGGCAGCAGCAGCGCTGGCAGGGGTGTATTACTTGCGAGTGTACGATCACACGGAGCAGACTGCTCTCGTGCACTCACTGCCTCACCTGCTCGCTCTCCACCCCAAGGTGCGTGGTGGTTTGGCTGGCAGTCTTGTGGATGGCGTGTCATGCGTATCAGCAGCAGCAGTATGCGTGAGTGGCACTGGCAGCAGCAGCTGGCAGGGGTGCATTACTTGCGCGTGTACGATCACACGGAGCAGACTGCTCTCGTGCACTCCTTGCCGCACCTGCTCGCCCTGCACCCCAAGGTGTGTGGTGGGCTGGCATGGGTATCACAGGGCAGGAGTGCTGTGTGTCGTTGCATGTTTATCAGCAGCAGCGCTAGTAGGGGTGCACTACCTGTGAGTGTATGATGCATTACCGCCCTATTCATCACTACGCCACGGACCGATCAACGTTATGTGGGTGTTTGGTCTAGTGGCATGATTCTCGCTTAGGGTGCGAGAGGTCCCGAGTTCAATTCTCGGAATACCCCATTTTCACTCCACACACCCTTTTGCAGTTTCTGATTCTGAATCTGATTTACAGAGCTTTCAAACTGGCTATTAAAAAACACAGAGGCACTTTCTTAACCAGGCTGCATTCCTCTCACTTCCTCCATCATCATCACGGGGTTCGTTTCGTTGTTTCAAACGCACAGAACTACCTAAGTTGATGGAAGTAAAGCCTGTGCAGCGCACCTGTCTTTTCTTGACAAGTCCTGCACCACATCACACGGCAGGTCAAGCTAGTGATCATCGACAGTGTCACCTTCCGTTTCCGCCAGTTTTGAGACGTCTCAAAACTGGAAGTAGTTCCTTTGCAGCCCACCTGTCTATTCTTGACAAGTCCTGCACCACATCACACAGCAGGTCAAGTTGGTGCTTATCGACAGTGTCACCTTCCACTTCCGCCACGCCTTCACCCACATGGGCCTGTGCTGGAGGTCAAGCTTTCTTTTATCCCCATTCTGCTGTTGCCCTTCCTTGCACCACAAGTCTTGACATCACACGGCAGGTCAAGGTGGTGGTGATCGACTGTGCCACCTTCCGCTTCACCCACAAGGGTCTGCGCTCACCTGTTTTCCTTTCCCCTGTTGCCCTTCCTTTTCCTGGCTTCACTTGCATGGGCCTGCTCCGTCTCTCCCTTGCATCACACCTTACTGCTCCAGGTGAAGCTAGTGGTTATCGACAGCATCACCTTCCGTTTTGTGCCACGGCTTCACAGACATGGGTCTGCGCTCACCTGTTTCCTTTTCCTTCCCTGTTTTCCTTCCTTCCCCTTCAACATCACCCACACCACAAATCAAGCTAGTGGGCATTGACAGCATCATCTTTCATTTCCGCCATGGCTTCACCCACATGGGTCGGCGCTTGAGATTCCTCATTCGTTGCTCGCCCTTTCCCTGTCACCCTTCATTGCCCTTCCTTTCCCTGCCACAGGTCAAGCTAGAGGTGATCGGCAGCGTTACCTTTCATTTCCGCCACGGCTTCACAGACATGGGTCTGCTCTGCGCTCACCTGCTTTTTATTTTCCTCCTTCTCTTCCTTGCCCTTCCACATCAACCATGCCCCAGGTCAAGCTAGTGGTTATCGACAGTGTCACCTTCCACTTCCGCCACGGCTTCACAGACATGGGTCTGCGCTCGCGCCTGCTGGCATCCATGGCGAGAGAGCTTCTTGCGATCGCTGACGAGCACAATGTTGCTGTGAGCCCTCATTTGTTATGCGTGTGCCAGATGCATGGCAATGGTGTGTGTGTGTGTGAGCTGCACTGAGTTATAACACGTCGTGCCCTCACCTCCTGGCCTCCATGGCGAGAGAGCTTCTTGCGATCGCTGACGAGCACAATGTTGCTGTGAACGCTCGCATGATTGGTTACAAAAGCCATATGTCTCACAATTACCAACTATGTTTCGCGTGATGTTCCGCAAAAGCCAAGTATGTTTCGCAAAAGCCAAGTAAGTTTCGCATAATTGTTCCTCGAGAAGACCTCATAATGGTTCATGCGTTATGTGCATGTGTCATGTGCATGGGGCATGGGGTATGGGGCATTCAATCCAATGGCGTGCAGGTGGTGTTGGTGAATCAAGTCACAACCAAGGTGGAAGGCGAGGTGTCCCGGCTCGTTCCCGCTCTCGGTGAGTCAATGTGCTGCTCTCGGTGAGTCAATGTGCTGCTCTCGGTGAGTCAATGTGCTGCTCTCGGTGAGTCAATGTGCTGCTCTCGGTGAGTCAATGTGCTGCTCTCGGTGAGTCGATGTGCTGCTCTCGGTGAGTCAATGTGCTGCTCTCGGTGAGTCAATGTGCTGCTCTCGGTGAGTCAATGTGCTGCTCTCGGTGAGTCAATGTGCTGCTCTCGGTGAGTCAATGTGCTGCTCTCGGTGAGTCAATGTGCTGCTCTCGGTGAGTCAATGTGCTGGAAGAAACGTAACCCCCCGTAAGAGTAAAGCGCCAATTAAGGTCACAACCAAGGTGGAAGGCGAGGTGTCCTGGCTCGTTCCCGCTCTCGGTGAGTCAATGTGCTGCTCTCGGTGAGTCAATGTGCTGCTCTCGGTGAGTCAATGTGCTGCTCTCGGTGAGTCAATGTGCTGCTCTCGGTGAGTCGATGTGCTGCTCTCGGTGAGTCGATGTGCTGCTCTCGGTGAGTCGATGTGCTGCTCTCGGTGAGTCGATGTGCTGCTCTCGGTGAGTCGATGTGCTGCTCTCGGTGAGTCGATGTGCTGCTCTCGGTGAGTCGATGTGCTGCTCTCGGTGAGTCGATGTGCTGCTCTCGGTGAGTCGATGTGCTGCTCTCGGTGAGTCAATGTGCTGCTCTCGGTGAGTCAATGTGCTGCTCTCGGTGAGTCAATGTGCTGCTCTCGGTGAGTCAATGCGCTGCTCTCGGTGAGTCAATGCACTGCTCTCGGTGAGTCAATGTGCTGCTCTCGGTGAGTCAATGCGCTGCTCTCGGTGAGTCAATGTGCTGCTCTCGGTGAGTCAATGTGCTGCTCTCGGTGAGTCAATGTGCTGCTCTCGGTGAGTCAATGTGCTGCTCTCGGTGAGTCAATGTGCTGCTCTCGGTGAGTCAATGTGCTGCTCTCGGTGAGTCAATGTGCTGCTCTCGGTGAGTCAATGTGCTGCTCTCGGTGAGTCAATGTGCTGCTCTCGGTGAGTCAATGTGCTGCTCTCGGTGAGTCAATGTGCTGCTCTCGGTGAGTCAATGTGCTCGAAGAAACGTAACCCCCCGTAAGAGTAAAGCGCCAATTAAGGTCACAACCAAGGTGGAAGGCGAGGTGTCCCGGCTCGTTCCCGCTCTCGGCGACTCATGTGCTGCTCTCGGTGAGTCATGTGCATGATGCATTCCTATTCGCATTGCCTCACTTTGGGTGCATTGCTTCTCGCAAAACCATCTGTCGCCATACATTCTTATCCATTCACCATGCAACCATACAGCACTTGCTCTGCAATATAAACCACCCATGGCCCCGAACCGCTGGTACTTCATGCATCACATCCCCCAATCCCCCCATTCCACCCTCCAATCAGGGGAGAGCTGGGCACACGCGTGCACCAATCGTGTGATCCTCTTCTGGAGTGGGGGCCAGCGGTTCGCTCACCTCTTCAAATCACCCTACCTGCGGGCGGGCACGGCCCCCTTTACAGTCACATCTGAGGGCGTGAGGTCGCTGCAAGACGCACAGAAGAGGCAGCGAGTGGAAGGGACTGAGAGGGCTCCAATGCTGCCAGGTCCGGGTGGTTACTAGTAGGGTGCTGCTGCCTCCAGACAAGCCCCAGACAAGCTCCAGGCAAGATGCAGAGAAGAGGCAGAGGATGGAATGGACGTAGAGGGCTCTGTTGATGCCAGGTCCGGGTGGTCACTAGTAGGGTGCTGCCAAACCAGGTGTTGCCTCCTGGCAAGCTCCGGACAAGCCCCAGGCAAGACGCACACAAGAGGCAGAAATTGGAAGGGACTGAGAGGAATCTGCTGATGCCATAGGGTGCTGCCCAACCAGCTGTTACGTCTAGGCCACGTCAGCCCACCACTGCACTGCACTGCACCCTTTTACAGTCACATCTGAGGGCATCAGGTATCTGCAAGACGCAGAGCGTGAAAGGGACTGAAAGGTTTCTGTTATTGGCTTGGCAGGCCCGGGTGTTCTCTAGTAGGTTGTTGCCTCCAGGCAAGCCCCAGGCAAGAAGCACACAAGAGGCAGTGAGTGGAAGGGAGGCAGGGAGTGGTGCTTTCGGCTGGTCTGTATGTTCGTCAGTAGGCTGTTGCTGTTGCCCAACAAGTTTTGAGTCGACTAAAAAAGGTCTGGGTATTGTTGGCTGGTAGGTAGGTTGTTGCCAAACAATAGTAAGCGAGCGTACCCCTTGTAAGCACACCCCTTGTACACATACCCATTGTAAGTGTACACCTTTTACAGTACCGTACCACCGCCTGCTATTACGGTACATCCAGGCCATCCCAGGCCACCACTGCCTGCCGCCTTTACTGCCTCATATGAAGGCATCAGGTCGTTACACGACGCACATACAGTGATCCCTTGCATATAGGACCGGGACTTTTTGTCAAAATCAATTAGAGGGGGGTCCTAACAAATGCATACCATGCTATGATTCTACCACTATAAAAGGCCCTCTTCCGCAGTAGTGTCCGGAAGGGGGGGGGGCGTATTCCAGCGGGTCCTATCTACTGGGGATTACAATAAGAGACTCTGCTGTTGGCATGGCTGGTAGTTAGATGGTGTACCAGGTTTCTATGCAGGGGTACTATTTTGAGCGCTTCTCTTTTGCAAGATGCTTACACTCGAAAACGGTATACAAAAAAAAGGTGTACATTAGTTTAGAATGACGCCACCATTGCTCCGCTTTCACCACCGGTGCTGCTGCTGCTGCTGCTGCTGCTGCTGCTGCCCCCCAGGTGACCCCCCAGGTGGCCTATGCCGATGGCCCCACTGCTGCTGCTGGGCTTGGCACTCGAGGGCCCTTGCCCATAGCACCTTTGCGCTCTGCACACCATCAATGGATGTCAGACATTGGGGAACGGACATTGGGAATCGGCCATAGAGCATCGGGCACACAGCAGCCCAAGAGAGCCAGAACAGGGGTGAATGGATAGGAGAAAGAAAGAAATGAAAAAAAATGAGAGCACTGTACCTTCGAATGCGACTAGAATAGTTGCAGTGAACGGTGCCTGAGATGAGATGTGACTAGATGGATCACAACGTAAAAAACCTTAAATGTGACTGTGAAGGGTGACAGTACGGAGGGCACGGTACCTTTGAATGTGGTTTAGGATGATCAAGCGAGGGCCGGGAGGGATCTTCACCTCCTGCAGTGCACTGTTAGGGGGCGAACAGGAGGGGAGGCAGGGAAAGAGAGGCATGGAAAGAGAGGCAGGGAAAGAGAGGCAGGTGGGGTGTTGATGAGTTGAGGGTATGTTGAGGATGGGAGGAGCCGTCACCTCCTGCAGGGCACTGCACTGAACCATGTCAACGGACGGGGTCTCATGAGGAGCGCAGAGAGGAGCGCAGAGAGGGTGGCAGGATTTCATACTGGCATTTGAGTTCTTCTTCAAGTTCTTCTCGTTACTATCCAGCCCCAGGGCCTGCAGCACTTGTCATTCCGCATCACCCTCATACCTGTATCTGAGCATCGCCCACCCACCTGTCATTCAGCATCACCCACGCACCTGTCATTCAGCATCACCCACCCACCTGTCATTGAGCAGAGGCAGCGTGCGGTCAGTGAGGAGCCCCTTCTTGAAGTTCTTCTCGTACTTGCCCAGCCCCAGCTCCTGCAGCATTGCCTTTGACTCCACATACTCTGACGGCGTTGCATCGCCCTCGCCTTGAAACGCCTTGCCCAGCTGCACATGCATGAGGGGGAGGGAAGGGGTGGAAGAAGGGGAAGCGGAGAGTTTGCCTGCAGCATGGCCTTCGATTCCACATACTCTGACGGCGCTGCATCGCCCTCGCCTTGAAACGCCTTGCCCAGCTGCACATGCATGAGGGGGAGGGAAGGGGTGGAAGAAGGGAAAGCGGAGAGTTTGCCTGCAGCATGGCCTTCGATTCCACATACTCTGACGGCGCTGCATCGCCCTCGCCTTGAAACGCCTTGCCCAGCTGTGTGCAGGGGGGAGGGGGGGCGGATGTGGGTTTGGGGGGGAAGGGAAGGAAGGGTAAGTGCACCGCACCCATACCAGCCCCAGCTCCTGCAGCATTGCCTTCGACTCCACGTACTCCGGTGGCACTGCGTCGCCCTCGCCTGAAAATGCCTTGCCCAGCTGCACGCAGGGGAGGGGTGGAGAGTGAGGAAGGGGATAGTGTGTGCTCTCGCCTGCAGCATGGCCTTCGACTCCACGTATTCCGATGGCGCTGCGTCGCCCTCGCCTGAGAACGCCTTGCCAGGCTGCATGTGGATGGGAGAGAAGGGGAGGGAAAAGGGAGGGGAGGGAAGAAGACCTCCCCCCCTCAACACACCTCTTCCCCTCCCCACTCACACAACCCTCCACATTCACACACCTGGAAGAAGGCCCCCTGGAAGATGGCAAATCCGACACCCGTGGAAAGGGCATTCAGCACCGACTGACACACACACACTCGCATCCCCTTTCCCCACCCTCTCCCCCACCCACATTCACACACCTGGAAGAAGGCCCCCTGGAAGATGGCAAATCCGACACCCGTGGAAAGGGCATTCAGCACCGACTGACACACACACACTCGCATCCCCTTTCCCCACCCTCTCCCCCACCCACATTCACACACCTGGAAGAAGGCCCCCTGGAAGATGGCAAATCCGACACCCGTGGAAAGGGCATTCAGCACCGACTGACACACACACACTCGCATCCCCTTTCCCCACCCTCTCCCCCACCCACATTCACACACCTGGAAGAAGGCCCCCTGGAAGATGGCAAATCCGACACCCGTGGAAAGGGCATTCAGCACCGACTGACACACACACACTCGCATCCCCTTTCCCCACCCTCTCCCCCACCCACATTCACACACCTGGAAGAAGGCCCCCTGGAAGATGGCAAATCCGACACCCGTGGAAAGGGCATTCAGCACCGACTGACACACACACACTCGCATCCCCTTTCCCCACCCTCTCCCCCACCCACATTCACACACCTGGAAGAAGGCCCCCTGGAAGATGGCAAATCCGACACCCGTGGAAAGGGCATTCAGCACCGACTGACACACACACACTCGCATCCCCTTTCCCCACCCTCTCCCCCACCCACATTCACACACCTGGAAGAAGGCCCCCTGGAAGATGGCAAATCCGACACCCGTGGAAAGGGCATTAAGCACCGACTGACACACACACACTCGCATCCCCTTTCCCCACCCTCTCCCCCACCCACATTCACACACCTGGAAGAAGGCCCCCTGGAAGATGGCAAATCCGACACCCGTGGAAAGGGCATTCAGCACCGACTGACACACACACACTCGCATCCCCTTTCCCCACCCTCTCCCCCACCCACATTCACACACCTGGAAGAAGGCCCCCTGGAAGATGGCAAATCCGACACCCGTGGAAAGGGCATTCAGCACCGAATTGCCTGCCGGCCCGCCCACCCCGCTCACCACCGAGAACGCCACCCCCGACCCAAATGCCGCTACCGCACTGACAGCACGGGAGAAGGGGAGAGAGGGAGGGATACGAATGGGCATGTGGGGAGGCAAGGTAAGGAGCAGGAGTGCAGGGATTGGCTGCCGGCCCGCCCACCAGTGGAGAAACGGAAGAGACGGGAGAGAGGTGCGGGGAAGGGAGGCAGGGGGGAGGGTGGCATGAAGAGTTGACTTTTGAGTCGACTCAAAACCCACCCCGCTCACCACTGGGAACGCCACCCCCGACCCAAACTCTGGCAGCGCGGTGCGAGCGCAGAAGGTGGGAGAAACGGGAGAGACGGGAGAGAGGTGGGGGAAAGGAAGGCAAGGGGGAAGGAAGGCAGCGGGAAGGGTGGTAGGGTGAAGGGTGGCAAGGTGAAGAGTGGCGTGGAGAGGGGAGGCGTGGAGAGGGGAGGCGTGGAGAGGGGAGGCGTGGAGAGGGGAGGCGTGGAGAGGGGAGGCGTGGAGAGAGGAGGCGTGGAGAGGGGAGGCGTGGAGAGGGGAGGCGTGGAGAGGGGAGGCGTGGAGAGGGGAGGCGTGGAGAGGGGAGGCGTGGAGAGGGGAGGCGTGGAGAGGGGAATCAAGAGGAGAGACTAGCGAGTCAACTGTGTTTGCGTTTCTCGTTCGTCGTCGCAGCCAACAGCTGCCTTGCTCCTGTGTCTCTCGTTCCTTCCTCTTGCCACTGCCACTGCTGCCGCATATAACCCGAATTCGGATCTCGCGCTTGCTGCTGCTTGCACGCCTCACCTCCTTGCACCACTCATCTCCTCTGCGGGTACATTCTTTTAGGCGCCTCGAAAATCGTCTGAAACTGCCCATCACCTTCCCTTACCTATCAAGACCCCACCCCTCCCTCACTTCCTCTGCAGCCCCTCTCACCTCTACCCCACCTCTGACCTCCACCCCTTCCCACCGCGTCACCTACCCCCTTACCCACCTTCACCGCCTCCCACCGCGCACTTCGTCTGCAGGTCCTCTCCTCATCACCCACCTCGTCACTTACCCCCTTATCCATCTCCACCGCATCCCACCCCTCACCTTGTCTGCAGGTCCTCGACGCCGCCGCGGGCGCGCTTCATGGCGGCCGTGATGCCCGCGTTCACGCCCGTCATCACCGCGAAGTTTCGCGCCTGCGTCCACGGGCCGCCTGTGAGCGCCTGTACACACCAGGCCACGACAGAGGGGTGGAAAGGGAGGTGGGTGGAAACGGGTCGTGGGTGGAAAAAGCGGTTCACGCAGCCTACTACGCCTTTTGAGGCGCCTTTCGGGGGGAGGAGAAGGCGGTTCAAGCAGCCTATTACTCCCGATCCTAACGACCCAGAGGAGGAAATCTCCAATCTCATCATTCGAGTGCCAACTAAGTGGGGCTGAACAGCGATAGCTGCAGCGCTGAATGACGCTGGTTAGGAAGATTCAGGGGTTAGCGACGTGATCGACAGCGGCCGCACGACGTACAGCAGCGCCGCAATGCTTTGGATGGGCTGTAGTGCTCGTCGCGGGCTTCGATGCTCTGCGACATAATTGTGCGACAATTCTGATGTGCGGGATTATCGTTACGCGACGTTAGCGATGAAACGTGCGACGTCCGCTGGTTCTGTGTATTTACTTTGTGGATGCTTTGTTTCAGATTTGCTTAAAACCGGTGGATCCGAACAGGTGGATCCGGACCAACCACGAGGCGACACGTCAAAGGGTTTTGTCATCAATGCGGCTCCGTCATCCGCAAACTGACGAGCAACGAGGCACCGCTCCCGAAACAGTTGACCGATGACGACGCGCCGTTGCGTCAAAAGCGGACTGCCCCACGTGACACGCGCATGGCGCCACGAGCTTCAGAGGCCGCATCTGAGTCGACTTAGAGCCACGATACCTCTGGCCTCTTGGAGCCGGATCTGGCCACATAACTCTGCGCGAAATCCGGATCTGGCTTCTCAAGGCCCAAACTCGAGGCCCAGCTCCCCCGCATCGCTCCTCCAATAACAGTAGGTGATCCAAGATCCGATCCGATATCAGAGAGTGAATGAGCGACTCGCCTGCACGTCGGAGCCGCCATAAAATTATCCAACCACACTCGACCACAGTCGACCGAGCTCGCGACGCACCTGCATTTGCTTCATCGACGCCGCGGCCTCCGGCGTCATTCCCGGCATGGTGGCCGGCGACGGCATGCTGCCGGCCGCCTCCGATGTCAGGCTGCCCATCATCGCGCCGATTGCGCCGCCCTGCAGCGCGCTCGCCGCCGCCACGACCGCCACCTCCACGGGCGGCGGCTGGCGCGCAACCCACGCCTTGGCGCGCCCCTCGATCTCCTGATATTTCGCCTGCAGCTGCCCGAGCACCATCGCGCCGACCGGGAGGGGAGAGTCGGTGGGGAGAGACAATCAGGTGAGAAGATCTGGAGGAGACGATTTGGTCACGACGAGATTTACTTGGGACGGGCGGATCGGAAAGCAGATGTCGCGGGAAGGGAGGAAAGGCAACGCTGCGCGGCGATGCGAAGCGGGGAGTGAGGCAGGAAAGGTGTTGTTGGGGGTGCAAGCTGGGTATGAAAATATTTTTTGCCTGTTTTGTTCAAGTCAAGAATGAAAGTTGAAGCACGCGGGCGAACGGGAGAGGCGGGGCAGGCGGGCGAGCGACAGGTGTTGCTGCAAGTGCGATATGACTGGGTGAAGGGGGCGAGCGACGCGCGGGGGGCAACGTGGAAGGGGAAGGGGAAGGGGACAATTAGGCTGACGTGTCGGCGAGAATTGGCGGGAAACTTCGGCTGCAATACACGTGGAAGGAACCAGGGAAAAGATCCATGGAATGCTGGTTGTGGGATTGAGCGAACAAGGATTACACTATCGAGGTAAACACAAGTGTGTAAATGTCGTAATTCTTAGTTAGTTACTTCAGGGTTTTGGGCTCTCTGATCAGATCAGATTATGAGACAGGCTGCCTTGTTTTTCTCAGTCCAGCTAAAACAAGGCTTACCAGCTGAAAGGCATTTTCACAGGCTTATAGGCAGGCTAGATCTCACAAATTTCATATACCATTTGAGCATAATCTGAAATACTTCAACGAGGTTTCCCTATGAATGACAAATAGTGATTCTACGCTAGCTAGGTGGATATCCAACTTTTGAAATTAGGGGCGAATAGTTCCTACTTTCCCAGGCAATGCAGCATGATGGCATTTTGTGCGTGCATGCGGTTTTCAGCTTGGGGGAAAACAATGGAGTAAGGAGCCTCCATAACCCCATCTGACACCTCCACCCCCCTCTCCGCTGGTAGGCAGTGCATAAACAGACAGTCCTTGCCGGCCCGTGCCATCATTGCTTCATCCACCTGGCAACAATCATAGGGTCAATCAAAGGGATAAAGGAGCTCTGATGAGGTGTGTTTTGAGAAGCCACCATGGGTCCTGCTCATGTGGGGCTCCTAGGCCCATCATCGCTTCATCCAACCGCCAACAATCATAGGGTCAAGGAAATAAAATAATTATGATAAGGGGGAAGGAAGCCATAAAACAAGGAGCCCAAAGAACTCGTTTTTTTTTTTCCTAAAAGCAAAAGGATGCTTATGCACTTGTCCACTACCTCTCATGACTACTCCTTTATCCACCTCTGTCAAACCTTTATCCACCTCTGTCAAACCTTTATCCACCTCTGTCAAACCTTTATCCACCTCTGTCAAACCTTTATCCACCTCTGTCAAACCTTTATCCACCTCTGTCAAACCTTTATCCACCTCTGTCAAACCTTTATCCACCTCTGTCAAACCTTTATCCACGTCTGTCAAACCTTTATCCACCTCTGTCAATATTCCCTTCCATCCACTCCTCTTCTTTCTCCCATCTCCTCCCCTCCTCTTCCCTCTTCCTCTTATCTGGAAGCCTTAAAACGTCGCCTTCCTTGCTTCAGCCACTCTCACCACTTCCCGCTTCCTCCTTCACAGAGACACAAGCAAGTACACCCTCTCACACACCTAGAAGCCTTGAAACATATCCTTCCTCGCCTCCTCCTCTCTCCTCCCTCCCCTCTTCCTCTCTCACAAAGTCATGCCCACACAAGCACAGAAACTCTCTCACACACCTAGAAGCCTTGCATCCTCGTCCTTGCATCCGCCTGATTATCATTATTCTATCCCTCTTCCTCGCCCCCTCTCACAAAATTCTACCACTACGGAAGCACATACATGCACACACGCCTTACAATGCTTCCCCTCCCCTCCCCTCCCCTCCCCTCCCTCCCCGTTCCCCCCTCTCCCTCCCCTCTCCCTCCCCCTCACACACCTGGAAGCCTTGGAAAGTCGTCTTCCGCGTCTCAGCCTCCTCCTTATACCCCATACTCGCCCACACGTCCGTGTACACCACGTTGCTGCCCTTCACCCCTTCCACAGGGTCATTGGTAATCTCGATCGTGCTGAGCCCTGCTGCTCTCGCGTGTTCTACTGTGGCGGCATCGGGCTCGAACCCCTTGGGGCACACGCACACGAAGTGCATGGGGATGACTGCTGCCAGGCGCAGCCAGCTGTGCACTATGTTGTTGCCATCGCCCACATAGGCCACCTGTGGCATACGGGAGAGAGGATAGAGTAGGGGTTGTATGGGAGACTAGATGTCCGATGATGGTGAGATCTGCTTTGACCCGACACAAGTGGCTGTACACAGATGCTTGTCCCTCCCTCTCATTCTTTCCCGTCGGCCAATTGAGAAAAACTGTTTCACCCCGCTCTCTGTTTCAACCCGCTCTCTGTTTCACCCCGCTCTCTGTTTCAACCCGCTCTCTGTTTCACCCCGCTCTCTGTTTCAACCCGCTCTCTGTTTCACCCCGCTCTCTGTTTCAACCCGCTCTCTGTTTCACCCCGCTCTCTGTTTCACCCCGCTCTCTGTTTCACCCCGCTCTCTGTTTCAACCCGCTCTCTGTTTCACCCCGCCTTCTGTTTCAACCCGCTCTCTGTTTCACCCCGCTCTCTGTTTCACCCCGCTCTCTGTTTCACCCCGCTCTCTGTTTCACCCCGCTCTCTGTTTCACCCCGCTATCTGTTTCACCCCGCTCTCTGTTTCACCCCGCTCTCTGTTTCACCCCGCTCTCTGTTTCACCCCGCTCTCTGTTTCACCCCGCTCTCTGTTTCACCCCGCTCTCTGTTTCACCCCGCTCTCTGTTTCACCCCGCTCTCTGTTTCACCCCGCTCTCTGTTTCACCCCGCTCTCTGTTTCACCCCGCTCTCTGTTTCACCCCGCTCTCTGTTTCACCCCGCTCTCTGTTTCACCAGATATTTCGACATCTGTAAACTCGATTCCTGATCACACGGTCCTTGAGACGTCTCAACGCGTTCGCACATTGTTTTCCACGAAAAAAAATCGCACAAGACTCGCACCTTCATGCCTTCGATCTGCCCCAGGTGCTCGATAATGGTGAGAGTATCGGCCATAAGTGGTCGCCTATCTCGTTGCCTACCTGTACCCCTTCCCATGTCCATCGCGTGTGCTCACTGCTCAACACTCGTCTCATTGATCATCACTCATCGCACCTTCATGCCTTCGATCTGCCCCAGGTGTTCAATGATGGTGAGCGCATCCGCCATGATCTGGCATGGGTGGTTGTAATCCGTCAGCCCGTTCACCACAGGGACGCTCGAATACTTGGCCAGGTCGATGATGTCCTGATGAGATGGGGTGACAACGGGGGGGAAAGCGGGAGTCAAGGAGGCAACTTTGAGTCGACTATTTTTGAGACGTAAAAAAAACAGGGATGCTCGAGTACTTGGCCAGGTCGAGAATGTCAAGAGGGGGTGACAAAGGGGGGAAGACGGGGAGGGAGAGGGGGAAAGGAAGATGAGCAAAATCACAGCAGTCCGTCAGCCCGTTCACCACAGGGATGTTCGAGTCGAGTACTTCAACCGTCTAAGAAAAAGTCAGCTTGCTCGTTCACTATAGGGATGCTGGAGTGCTTGGCCAGGTCGAGAATTACCTGAGGGGGTAGGAGGGGGGAAAAGGGGAGTCAAGGAGGAGGGAGAGGGTTGATGGGGGAAGGGAGGGGACGGGAAGGACCAGGGGAAAAGGAAGAGCACCAGTACAACAGTCCGTCAGCTCTTTCACCAACTGGATGCTCGAGTGCTTGGCCAGGTTCAGGATATCCTAACGGGTTGAAATGGGGAAGACGAATGCGAAGGCGTTGGGGTAAACCAAGAAAGCCCAAGCGTTGGAATCTATAAGCCCGACCGAGGTATGTGACAGGCTGGAATCCGTCAGCACTCATTCACCAGGGGGGGGCTCTCAAGTTGAGTACGTCCGAGGGAACGGGGAAGGGTAGGAGGTAACGCAGGCACCAATGAAGAACCATCCAGCAAAGAGGCAAGTGTGCCAGACCGACGTATTTAGACGAGGATTATGACGAGAAAGGGGGTCTGGGGAGCATCACCATCAACCTCAGAGTAGCCTTGACCTGAAGACATGGAGCTGGACGAAGTTCTCTTTGAGTGGGGACACCTGTCGTTCATGGGAGGTTACCTCTTCATGTTTGGCAGAGCTGCCGCCTCCTGGCAGGCCAAGAAGCTGCAGGGTGCGACCAAGCTCTACTCCACTCAGAGTGAGCTTGTGGCTGGGCAAAGCGGCGAGCCATGATGGTATCGTTGTACCCGCTGATCACACGGCTGATGTCCCTCGTCTCCTCGCGCTTGCCCAGCTGAATGGTGTCGTTTGAGGCGCCTCAAAAGACATATACCCAGTGCGCAAAGAGCCGGGCCAGATTCTTTAGTCAACTCAAGAGTGTCCCAGACGTGTATACCTGGTGTGCAAAGAGGCGAGCCATGATGATGTCGTTGTATCCGCTGATGACGCGGCTGATGTCCCTCGTCTCCTCGCGCTTGCCCAGCTGGATGGTGTCGGGGCCGAGGTAGAGTGCGTGGCCGCCCAGCAGGAAGAAGCCCGACTCGAAGCTCACCCGCGTGCGCATGGAGGGCTTGGTGAATATCATCGACATGGTGTGACCCTGTGGGAGGAGGGCGGGGGAGAGAGGGAGAGGGGGGAGTGGGTACGGGAAGAGCAGGGGGCATGCAGCAAGTGAAGCTCACACGCGTGCGCATGGATGGCTTCGTGAAGGTCATCGACATGGTGTGACCCTGAAGAGGGGGGGGGAGAGGGAGGGGAGATTGGTGGGGGGGGAGGGCGGAAGGAGGGGGTCGGGGAGGAGAGGGCATTGGAAGGAGGCAGAGATGGGGGAGAGAAGGTGGATGAGCTCGAGAGGGTGGATGGAGCGATCACAGGACTTAATGACCGCTTTCTCTTCCCTGGCTTGATTGAATGCAATTTGAGCTTACTAGAAGTCACCTCTGATTCAGAGTGTTTCTAAAAGCAGCCAAACGCTCCTTTCAAATCTATGGTCAACTGACCCTGGCTCACTTTCAGCAGCCTCAAAAGTTCATGGAATCAGCTGACCCGTAAGGGGCTGGTAGGAACGATCGCACCTTGGGCTACTCTGGGGCGCCGCACCGCAAACGTTTCTGGAGTGCAACTCTATAGTCAACTGACCTGAAGGGGCTGGTGGTGGCAGCAGTCGCCAGACTTGATGATCGCTTCTACTTCCTTGGCGTGCTTAAGGAGGAATTTTTAGACGACTTAATGTCACCTCCGTTTCAGGGTGCTTTTGAAAGCAACCAAAAACTCTCTGCAAACTTATAGCCAACTGACCTTTAGGGGTTGGTATGAGCGGTCGCCGGACTTGATTATCGCTTTCACTTCCTTGGCACGGTTGAGGATGTGGAGAATGGTATCCTTATCGAAGTCGTCAATATGGAGGAAATGTGTGGGAGCAGCTGCAGCAGCTGCAGGAACAGTTCAGAACATGGGATTGAGGCCAAGAAGGAATGGTTATAAGATGGCTTTCTAAAATAAGATAATGTTTTACCGGACGACAAAAAAAAAAAACTAAATAAGACTAAGAATGAAACGGACCAGATACAGGATCATCTTGTTTGAAAAATGGTATTCCGTTTATTTGTGCACGTACCACGAACAGAAACTGATGATCTGGCAGGAGAACGAACGACAAGTTTCCGCGAAGCAGCGGCACGAGTCACAGGCATCTTCTGAAATTCGCCAAAAAATAGCAATATCAGATTGTGTGAGAGAAATCTGGATCTTTACATGCATTTCAGAAAAAAATGAGCTCTTTCAAATGTTATAGGGAATTGAGCCTTGACGGGAGAAGCAGGACTGTGAGATACAGGAGCTTGAGCCATGGGGTGAGCCAATGTTGCAACCAATAACTTGGGAGGAACCGTAAAACTCGTACCATGAGGCCGTTCCATGCGTGCTTTGAGTAGACTGGGAAAAAAATGTGTGTTAAGTCGACTGAAAACGAATTTGTACCTTGAGGCCGCTCCATGCAGCGGATTCGCCGATGAGCGACTTGGTCGCAGTCGCAGTGGCGGCCTGCACGGGAAGGAGGGAAAGGAACAGAGAGGGGATCCGAAAAAAGGAGAGGGAAACATGAGAATAAGTCCTGTCTGGGACAAAGTGTCAGAATGAATGCAGTTTGAAGGAAAACTTCGCGGGATTCCACTTTTGAGGCTCGTAAAAAACGAGATGCACGCGTTCTGGCTGGGCCGAGAGGCGCAGCTGATTGGTCGCGAAATATTGAACGAGGCTGGAAGTTGTGGAATCCGAAACGAAGTGAAAGTGTACCATGGTAGGCTCGGGGGAGTTCGAGCTCGCTCGGACTGAGATCTAGCTTTGGTCAAGCTTCGTTGACAGCCTGCAAGGACAAAGGTGGAGACAAGATGCAATGTTGCATTGGATTTCGGCATTTCTCATAGTACATGTTCGTAAAATGCTGGATCGAACTAGCAGAATGTGGTCCTGTGCAATACGATATGATTATGTTGGGAGGCGAACCAAGAAATCATATCTGCTTATGGCCGGCTCTAGAGTGCAAGTCCTTCTTTCCTTTCTCTCATTCGCTACGGTAAACGGCGAACACGAACAAGCGAAGTCGTCATTAAGAGTTTCCAGCTGCTCGTTAAGTTCCAGACCACGACAGCTGGCATTTCTTTGAAATGCAGTATTTCAGTCTCTGCTCCTGTCTCTTCTGAAGTACCCACGAGGCAACTTCCAGTGGTTGACATGGGAAAGATACGAAGTCTTCGAGCGTCTATGACAAGTCCGGCTTCCAACACGCGAATATGAAGAGAATGCCGGAGCACCAAACCCACCTAGAGAGATGGCTAAGGAGGGTGAACCTGAGCAGCTTCGCTTGATGCGACTCGTTTTTGTTTTTCAAAAACAAGTTCCGCCTGACTCACCTGGAAAGATGGTTCTTGCAAGGGAATACGAGCAGCTTCGCGCCAGACGATAAGAGCCAACGCTGTTCGTAAGAGGCTGCTAAAGGCTCGACTGAACAAGAAGGGACATGCAAATCCAGCCTGCAGCAGCAGTAGAAATCTGAGGGGCAATATCGATGGCTTCTCAGATTTCACCTTGCTTCAGTGAAAAAATCTGGGAGAAATGGAGGCAGATGAGAAGAAAGGGAGACCAAGTGAACTGACCAGAGTAGGGAGGGACAGCTGGCGGGCACGAGAGGCTGACAAGGATCAGCGGCAGCACACCAGCAGCGCCGGATTGGTCTGCACACGGCAGCATCGTTGGATTGGTCTGAACTAATATTTGCGTGCGGGTTACAAAATGTATTATTGGACGACGAACTAACGCGGAAGCTCTGATGGAACTGCTTTCGGAACAAGCGCCCCACGTGTCGCGTTATTAGACGTCACGAAAGGACATCTCTCCAACCACTGGCATCAGAAAGCAGTCACGGCGCATCACGACTTCAACGCTCTATGTGTAGTGACGAACTGCGTGTAACCTTCTCGTCAATTCCCACCATGACCACATGAATATGATGCAAGAATCAATTCCCCTATGCACGGGTAGAATAAGTTTGCCCTAATGTGTTTCACATTTCACAATTAACAGGAGGAAATAAATTGATCAGTGCAGATAAAACCTGGAGAATCAGCATGCAGCCCTTCAATTGTGTCTCGCTACCGGTACTATCATGAGGCCCTCCCACGGGCATTCGGTAGCGTGAACTTTACTGGATGGAATGGAGTGCAGGAAATGCTTTGACACATGTGCATAAAATATTTAATGAACAAAATAACAAAATAATGGGCAGGCACACGGATGAATGGAATCACGCGTAATTTGTGTGGCGCTGATGCTCGAGCACCAGAAGATTGCACATTGGGGAACAGATGAAATTGGGTTTCCTCCCTTACTACGGACAAGGTATTGCTATACCCCCGCCACCATCGCCCCTCCACCATTGCTCTTCCACCATTGAACCTCCAGCCCCCACCATCTCACTTCCTCCATCGCCCTCCACCATCCACCCAGCAGCCTAAACCCTAAACCCTCTGAGCACCCTGTCCCCCAGCAACAACCACAAACTGTTGTCAACCACAAAACTCCTCTAACACTCATATGTCAAACCTCTTCCCCCCCCACCCTTCACTACTCATCTCATCCCTTTTTCCCCTTGCCTTTCCCCTTCCTGCCTTTGCCTTTGAGTCCTTTCACAACAGCATCTGCTGCCTTCTTTAGAGCTCCGCCACCACTCTTCCCTCCTCCTCCCCCTCCCCCTCCCCCACCTCCCCCTCCTGCCCCGCCTTTTGCACCGCCACCGCCTTTCCCCTTCCCTTTGCCTTTTTTCTTGCTGCCCGTTTCTTGGCTGCCCGGGTCAGCAGCCCCATTCCCAGGGTCCAATGGCGAGTCGCTGTTGCTGCCCGCATCCTGTGGGTCAACACTGTCAGTGGCAGCACCTGTGAGATGGGAGGGGAGAGGAGAGGAGAGAGGAGGGGATGAGAGGGGATGGGTGAGGCGAAATTGAGAGGCCTCAGTTGCTGCCCGCATCCTGTGGGTCAACACTGTCAGTGGCAGCACCTGTGAGATGGGAGGGGAGAGGAGAGGAGAGAGGAGGGGATGAGAGGGGATGGGTGAGGCGAAATTGAGAGGCCTCAGTTGCTGCCCGCATCCTGTGGGTCAACACTGTCAGTGGCAGCACCTGTGAGATGGGAGGGGAGGAGACGGAAGGGGAGGAGAGGGGAGGGGAGGAGAGGAAGGTTGGGAAATGGAAACGGAAATGAGAGCAGCGGGGGGACACACTGAGATTTCAGCAGCAGTGTGTGTTTGATAATTAAAAAACCACCGAGGCATTCACAGCATGATCAAACACATATAGGTGAACCATACCTTGGCACTTGGACGCGTCAATCCCACCTCCCTGTATGAGCGGCACGCACTGCAGCCCGGTGCGGCACTTGCCCATGCCTGCGGGGCAGCGGAAGGAGCGGCAGAACACCGGGTCCTCGTCCCCTGGAGCAAGCTGCTGCTTGTCACCAGATGGACTCCTGTCACTGCTGCTGCTGCTGCTGCTGCTGCTGCTGCTGCTGTTGCTCGCGCTGTCCGGGTGGATGCAGTCGCTGCTGCCGTCGCACCACCGGCGCTCCGCCAGGCACTGCCAGCTGTTGCGGCACCGGCGCTGGCCCTCGGGGCACACCAGCGCCGCACACATGGCGCGATCCTCATCGTTGAACGGCTCTGGTGAATCCGATGCTGATGTTGATGGCGCTGGCACTGTTGCTGCTGCTGCTGCTGCTGGCAGGGATGGTGAGGAGGAGGGGGATGGAAGGCAGTCAGAGACGCCATCACACCAGTGCTCGCGAGCCACACACTGCACTCCGTTGCTGCACTTCCTGCCCCAATCAGGACAGCTCCACCTCGCACACACACCCGGATCCTCATCCTCCCCTGTTACCACTGCACTCCCCTTCCCACTGCTGCTGCTGCTGCTCGGGATGGCCTTTACGGTAACGTTTCCTTTTTTGGTAACGGGGCAGTCGATGATCCCGTCGCACCACCGGGCGGCGTCCAAGCATTTACTGTTCACGGCACAGCGCATCGTGCCCTCAGCGCACACGTGTTTGGCACACATGGCCGGGTTCTCATCCTCCGTATAAACCGCAGACGCTGCAGTCGCCGCAGGCACCGCTCCTTTATACGCCGCTCCGTTATAAGCAATATTCCCGTTAGAAGCAGTTGAATTACTGCCAGAGGCAAAAACTGCTGCTCGTGCGGCTGCGGCTGCTGCTAGAACAGCAGCCATTGCCTCAGCTGCATCTCTAGCCGACATATCTTTTCCTGTCACCAGGTTTACACTCGGGCAGTCGTTCACACCATCACACCACAGCTTGTCGCTCACGCAGACGTACCCGTTCAAACATTTCCGGTAGCCCGGCTGGCAGGTGAAAAAGCTGCAGAAAAGGGGGTGTTCGTCGATGGAATAAGGGAGCATGGGGGAGGCGGAGGAGGAGGCGGAGAGAGCGGAGGAGGGAGCAAAGGGATCGATTTCCAAGGGACAGTCGTTGATGCCATCACAGAGAGCACCCTTCACGCAGGAGAAAGCGGATGAGGAGGCGGGGGAGGAGGGGCAGGAGATGGAACCGGGCGGGCAGGTGGCTGGCTCGTTCTGTGTTTCTGAGAGATTTCCATCAGTATCGCTGTCAGAATCGCTTATCTCCTCTGCTTCTCCCTCCCCCTCCCCCTCCCCCTCCCCCGCCCCATCCTGCGGTGGCGTCTTCCCCGCACACGCCACGTCACTCTCGTCCGACCCGTCAGCGCAGTCCACGTGGCCATCACACGTCATCCACGTGCTGAAGCACGCGCTGCCGTCGGGGCACGCCGTCTGCCCCGCCATGCAGGGCGCGGGACACGTGGAGGCCTCATCCACGCACGTGCCTCCCGTCCCCTCGCTGTCACTTTCACTGGTGCTGCTGCTGCTGCTTCTGCTGCTAATCTTGCTACTGCTGCTGCCGACGCTGCAGCTGCTTGTGGCGGTGCTGCTGCTGCTAGCGCCGCTGCCGCTGCTCGTCGTTGTCCGCAAGGCCGCTATCCGCGCCCCGTCCCCGACCGTGACCGCAACCTGCGCGCCGTAGCACCGCCGCTGCCCGCGCGAGCACGGCGGGGGCGCTGTGATGATCGAGGGGAAGTCCTCTTGCGCCCATGCCACGAGGGGGCCGGGGGAGAAGCGGGAGGCGGAGAATGAGGAGGCGGAGGGGAAAGGGGAGGGGAACGGGGGGAAGGGTGCGGAGAGGAGAAACAGGAAGACGAGGAGTGCGCGGATGGAATGTGCGAAGAAGCCGAGCGTGGAATGTCGCGGAGAGGCTGCAATTCGGAAGAAAGAGAGCGATTCTCTCAAGAGGGAAGCCTGCGGCTGCGACTGTTGCGGCTGCGGCGGCTGCGACTGCTGCGATTGTAGCCGTCCCAACCGTCTGAACCGTCTGAACCGTTTGCTCCAGCAAGAGTCCGCGTTCTGCGGGCTGCTCCTGCTGAGAAGCGGTTCCCAGACGCACGATAATGTCACATCCCCGACTGTCACAGGGTCGCCTCGGGAAAGGCCGTCATCTACAGCTGTCGAGGGGGTGTAGCAACGCTCGTTATAGTCACTATAGAGGGGGTTACTATAGTGAAGGCCAACGCAATCACCGCAGTCCCTTCTTCGCGAGAGTTCACGAGAATTCAGGGCCCATAGCGAAGAATGAGTCGTACCCCCTGGACAACAGCGGCAACAGCGGCAAGTGCGCTCTGGGCAACATGAATTTCCTGCCCTTTCGTCCCTTGCTCTGTCATTGCCTGCCCTGTCGTCGACTGCTCTGTCGTCGAGACGCGCATCTCCTGGACCCACGACAGCTAGAAACGTCATTTGGTGACGATTTTTTGTGAACGAAATCTGATCAGAGTAACCTATTCGCGAAAGTGTCACAGCGATTGGTCACACGGTCTGCGACGTTTCACAACCCGGGTGCCTTCGACCCACGACTGCTGTAGATCCAACTGAGCGAGTGAAACTCATCACGACTCGCGAAAAGGCTGGTTATCATGCGAATTTCTCGACCGAGCATGGCTGGTCGGGATGCATCGTCACAGCGCGCCGTAGTTAATTAACTGACTTGCGGACGAAGGGTCTATCTCGAAGCCTGGGCGAAGCCTCGTTAAAGCCCCGCGCGCTACAATCACACATAAAACTCCTCGGTCCCTATGACGTAACCCCGTGCCGCTCTAGTTAGCTTCTAGCAATGGAGTGTCGATTCGCATCATCCTGTGAATGGGTCCTGGTGTAGAGCAGAGAAATCGAGACAAAACACTGCATAGCGGAAAGCAGACCATTTTGGCTGGTGGTGTGCTGCGATGGGTTTGCGGTTGCGACATTACACCTGATATTGAACGACAAGTCGACGACGACTGTATGACGGATGTGCGACTGGAGTCAACAAGACGAGAATCTAGACCAGGGAAAAGTTCGGCAGTTGAAACAGACTACAGACTATACCGTATCAAAACACGCCGCACCGAATCGGATTACACCCTCTTTCTCGCCATACTGACGTCCGCTATACTGACTTCCAGAGTGAAAAAACTCGGTTGAGGTTGGTTGATTTAGGTTTCGGTATGGTTCATTTGGGCAAATCGAATAGGACAAGGCCAGCCTGCCAGTTACGCGCGGGTCAGTGTAGCGAGAAACAGGGTGTACACAACCTGCTCTTACGCCTGCGACCCGCTGACGAAGGCTGAGTATCTGTCCGTGTGCATGTTGTGTGTGGGTGTTGTGGAGAATTTTGCTCAATCCCGCGAAATAGCTCTTTGTTTTATTATCGCCACGTGGCCTGCCTATGATCGCGGGAACCGCGATCTGTTTCATTGTTCCCACACATTTCAATTTTTATTTAGTTAAGTTTAGTGGGGCACATGTACTGCGCTGCCCGCGGGCACAAATAAAACCATTCGGGCCTGGCATGCGTTGGGGAGGCATCAACCCTAAACACCTAGAGGCAAGGTGTTTAGGTTTGATGCATCCCTAACGCATACCTTTCCTATAGGGGTTTATTTGTGCCCGCGGGCAGCGCAGTACATGTGACCCACTAAACTAAACTAGATTTCTCTTGAAAGTTGTGGGATCAATAAAACAGATCGCGGTTCCAGCGATCGAAGGCATGCCACGTGGTGATAATAAAACGAAGCGCGATTCCGCGGGATTTAGCAAAACTCTCGGGTGTTGTGTGTGTAGAATGGATTGTCGGTCGGTGGGTGTCACTGCAATGCGATGCGATGCGATGCGACGCGAATCGACATGGGGGTTTAGGGAAGGGAAGGGACATGCTAATGCGATAGAGACCAACAGAGCAGGGTAGTGGGAATGTAACGTCAAGTTCGACTCGCAGGTGATCCCTCAGCTGCTTTGGCCTGATTGGGCCAGGTCCCACGGATGAAGTGTAGGGCGGTATAAGCAATTTATAACACCAGCATACAATGGCACAATCAGTGCAAGGCTGTACAACAGGACCAGAAAACAAATAGAATCATGTTAATGTTACAGCCATATTTTTTTTTTATCAAACATGAGCATTCATCCATCTAGTCCAAATAACAGCTAGTATACACAAACAAAAGATGAGCCTTATCCTTCAACATGCGCCCTCGCATCCAACTTAATTTCCGCCCCCGCGCTTAGGCACAACGATTCCCGTTGGTTTCACTTTTTGCTTGACCTTGTCCGCTGCTGCTTTCACCTTGTCTGCCTGCTTCTTCACCTCCCCTGATGCATCTACCTTACTCCCCTTCCCACTCCCTCCATTATCCCCACTTCCTCCACTCCCTTTACCCTTTCCACCTCCACTCCCCTTCCCACCACCACTTCCCTTACCACCACCACTCCCCTTCCCACCACCACTCCCCTTCCCATCACCACTCCTGCCACTCTTCCCACCACCCGTCCCTCCACCACTCCCTCCGCTCTTGCCTTTCTTGCCTGGGCCGAGTAGGTCTCCCACCTGGGTGACGGTGGCACCGCTGGTGGGAAGCCCTGTGCGGGGGTCTGTGCAGGCGCAACACACATGCATGAGCAGGGTGAGGAGGGGGAAGGAGGGGGGAAGAGAGGTTAGAGGGGTGTATGAGACGAGGGTCAAGAAGTGAAAGAAAGGGGCGTGAGTGGGGTGGCAGGGTGGTTAGGGGGATTTAGACTGGGTCAGTGAGTTGAATGCTGTTTCAGCCTTCCCTGACTTGTCAAAACCTACAAAAACAGAACAACAATCCATGATAAACGCACCTATAGGCCGGGTGAAGCTGCTGCACATCACTGGGTCTTCATCCTCTGTATAAGACAGGTCGGGATTCGTTACAGGGCAGTGGTTCTTGCCGTCGCACATGGCGCCTGGGCGGCAGATGAGCGGCGAGGAGGGGCACTTGAAGGTGCCACGTGGACACCTGTAAGTGGAGCAGAAGTCCTCGCCCTCCTCCGACCCGCTCTTGCAGTCATTCACGCCGTCGCAGAACTTCCGAAGACCAATGCACTGCGCGTCTGCGGGGCAGGCGGCCTGGCAAAAGGGAAAGGCGAATGGATAAGGTAGGACAATGGGGAGAAGATGAGGAGAGTGTAGGTGTGACGTTGTAAGTCAGGCCGCCTGGCAAAGGGAAGCAAATGGGTGAGAAAGGGGCGGGAAATGGAAACGGAAGGCGCAGGGGAAGGGAGGGTGGGGAGGATGAGATGAGGCGACCATGCAGTCAGCACCGTTAAGGAGCACTGCACTGCGTGTTTGTGGACCAGGCGGCCAACTCCCACTCACGAGGTCCCCACTCACCTGCCCCTGCGAGAGGCAGCCGCTGATGAGCTCGCAGTCGTCGCCCGACTCGTCGGATCCGTCGTTGCAATCCTCCTGCCCGTCGCACACCGCCGAGTCCCATCCAAGCACCCAGTAGCCTCTGCTCATGCCAGCCCCCAGTCACGAGACCCCCACTCACCAGCCCCTGCGCCAAGCAGCCGCTAATCAGCTCGCAGTCGTCGCCCGACTCGTCCGACCCGTCGTTGCAGTCCTCCTGCCCGTCGCACACCGCCGAGTCCGGCACGCACCCGCTGCTGTCGTGGCAGCGGAACTGGCCCGCCGTGCACTGCAGGGAGAGCGTGCAGAGCATGCCGATCTGCGGGGGAGGAGAGAAAGGGGAAGGGGGAAAAGGGGAAGGGGGCAAAGGGGAAGGGGGGAAAGAGTGAGAGAGGCACGCACCCGCTGCTGTTGTGGCAGCGGAACTGGCCCGCCGTGCACTGCAGGGAGAGCGTGCAGTGCATGCCGATCTGCGAGGGGGGGAGGGGAGTGGGGCGAGGGCGGAAGAGAGGGGCGGAGGACAAGGAGGGGGTAAGGGAGAGAGGCGCGCACCCGCTGCTGTCGCGACAGATGAAGTGGTTGGATGTGCACTGCAGGGAGAGCATGCAGAGCATGCCGATATGAAAGGAAGAGGGAAGAAAAAGGGGGAGGCACGCGCTCGCTGCGTCGCTGCCGTGACGGAGGCAAGAAAAGGGGGAAGAAAAAGGGGGAGTGCATTCGCGCTCGCCGTCGTGCCGTGAACGGATGGCAGCGCGGATGGCAGACGGCGTCGCTCCGCTCTTTACCAAAGCGATTGATTTTGTGCGCTCGAAACACAAGCAAAACTCGACATGCCGTCGTGTCAACCGTCGTCTGCACCTCACGGCAGCGAGAGTTACAGCAAACAACTCCTTAATGATGGTAACGAATCACACCTTAACGCACGCTCCGTTGGAGCACCGTCGTTCCCCCGTGGGGCACTCCGCCACGGCCGGCGGCGAGTCGGGGTCCGCCGCCGCCCCCGCCCCCCCCGCGCACGTCGCATCCCCCGCCGGGCACTTGGGCGGCGGGGTGTAGCTTCCGCTGATGACGTCATCCCCCGCATCGCCGCCGTCCCCGCCGGCTGCGACGGCGCCGGTTGTGCCGCCGGTGGTCGTGCCGACACCGGTTGGTTTCACGGACGTTGTGGCGGAAACGGAAGCCTGCAAGGGGAAAGAGGAGAGAAGGTGGGGGGAGGGAGAGGGAGGGGAAGTGAGGTAAGAGGGTGCTGGGAGGAAAGGGTTGGGAGCGGGGAAGGGAGGGGGGAAGGCTGGTCGGACGTGCGTGGAGCAGAGGCCGCGGGAAGCGGAGGGGAGGAGGAAGAAGCCGCGAAGCTGAAAAACGCCGCGTCTGAGGCTTGCAACAGTATGGCACGGAGACGCTACCCTCAAGGTTAAGAGAGAAGGGCAGGGCCGGATTCTCTCCTTGGCGTACCGCGACCAGGCGACCTGCAATGAGAACGTCTGGGCTTCATCTATGGGATGCACGGCTTTTGAGGTGCAACAGAAGTCGTAACGGCGACCTGGCGACCTGCCGTGAAAAGGTCTGCGCGGTCTGGGCTTTATCTGTGGAATGCAAGGCGGAAAGAGCTTTGCGTGACGGTTTCAATAGCGGGGGGGAAGGACGGGATGTTGTTGGCGACGAAGCTAGCGACGACTGAGCTTGCGATGGGGTTACCACCTCGCTAAGCAGCTGACGAATCGAGCGGTCTTTATAACGTCGGGATTCTACCCACTTGTGCAAAGAAAAAGGGGCAGCCATGAATATGGGCCTACTAGCGGTGCAGCGCAGCAGTAATAGGGTGAATCTCCGCAAACATGGCATTCATACCGCTCGGCGTTACCTCCGTAAGTAACAAACAAAACGCGGAGTAGTAGCACCCATAGCTGCGCTAACGGTTGGGGGCTATTCGACGTCTTTCCTGTGAAGAAAAATAGGGATTAAAAGGCACGGATATGTGCGAATGGCTGGAGACTTCTCGGCTTTACCTGTGTGAGTGGAAGTGCAAGCGACGCGAGGAGCAGCGCGCCGAGCGACCATACTAGTAGCGGAGTTAATCTCCTTTGCCGCATCCGCGCAACTCGTGCCGTCTGCTCGTGCTCATTCCGTGAGACAACCATTTCGACGTCTCGCTTGTTAATCTCCACTCCACCCGGAGAACCGATAGATTCTTCGTTTCTCGTTCCTTCTTGGCAACCAGGACTGCTTCACTGTACTACCTATTCGCGACTCACTTACGCCCTAGGTTGTTAGGCAACTGCTGTGGTCTACAAGGTAAGGCAGTCTACTATCGTACTGTCTGCTTCAGTGTCGTCTGCTTGTGTTGTCCTCCTGATAAGTCCTTGGTTGTGAATTAGCAAGGTTGCTGTTTCCCTTCAGGTGGAATGGTGTCGTGCCAAGTGCAGAGAGCGGATTTAAAGTCGGTTTGAGCTGGTTTGGCCTGGTTAAGGGTTGGGATCAGCATAGTCAGTGGGATACTACACGACAGCATATGTTGCCAGTCACCTCGCCATTCCACCTCCGATTCGAAACGAAACTGCTGTGTACGTTGTCTGGACGGGCTGATAGGTGCAAGTCGGTGTTCGTGAAATGTGAGATGCGAAGCGCAAACAGCCAACACTGAGAGGGGACGCATTTCGAGCACTGTAGTTTTGAGAGTGTTGGTTACAGTACTTTTAAACGGATTTTGATGTCCAGGGTTTCGTAGGTTCAGTACAGAGATGCATCTAGCACTCCCCACCGCGCAAGGAGACCTTTCTACGACACGAAGAACTGTACAGTACAGCACCTAGTTTCATGCCTGGTCCATACAGTGATTTTCAGGTGGGAATTCAGCTCCTCTGTTGGCTGGCTGGCACCATGTCAGACCCAGATGTCTGCGCGTGGGTCTGCTCATTGCCGAACCGCCTGTCGCAGCTGTTGGACAAGTGGAACACCTGCCAAGTTGCTTGCCTGCCTATCGCCCCAAGCATCTCGTCTGGACTCGACCGTATTGGCTGCCGAACCATTATAGGGCCCGTCCATCGATTATATAGATTCTTCAATGTAGCAAAGCATCTAAATCAGTATTCAACAATTCTGGCACTTCTGAATTCGGTATTGAATGTAGCACATAATATAAATCAGTGCATAGCTATTGCAGATAATTTACATGTAAACAATAATATTGTAATCACTGATTTATGGAAAATTTTCAGACATAATCATATAGTGAATGAGTTTCCCTCCACTTATGTCTCTAGCCTCAACTGCTCAGGCAATCTAGTGCTGGAGTAACATTATGGCGAGTAATAACAGCTCAGCACTCCCCGACGCTGACGCAGCAACACGTCCGCGCTAATAGCCCATCCGCTGCAGCCGTTTTCTTCGCGGCCCCGCCGCTGATTTCCCAATCGGACATTGCAAACACTCACTCAGGCTGGGTAACAGAAGCTAAGTATAAGCAGTTGAGCACGATATCGTGCAATCTGAAGCGGTCTATTTGCTTCATCACTTGGACAGAGTCAGGATTATCAATCCCCCCCTCACTTCCCCCTTCCCCTTCCCCTACCCCCTTCACTTGAACCTGGTCTGACCCGCGCGATTGTCACTTCCCGGACATCACACCACACCACACCACGCCAAACCACACCGCAACCCCACCACAGCAACGCCCCCAATCTCCTCTTCTGCTCCTGACCAGTGACCGGTCAAGCAATCAGTCGGAGCAGCAAGCAAGCAGCCAAGCCGTCAATCGCTCTCCCGCATTCCATCCAGCCAATCACAGCGGGCAGCGCAGCCCAGCCATCCGCCGTCAGACCCGAGTCCGCGCCGCGCCTCTCCCAGCAGCTTCCGCTAGTAGCCGCTCCCTTCCCCGCCGTCCCTCAGACTGCGCTTTCCGCACTACCCGCTGTGCTCTCCGCTTCTGCGTGCGCCTTCCTCCAGTCGCTCGCCCACGTGACGTTTCCGCTGGTCGCTTTCCGTCCCGTCTCTCCCCCACTCGTCGCGTAACACGTGGCAGGACCCTCGCACGTAGCCAGGGAGGCGGTTCGAGGGGGGGCTTTAATCTGCCGCTTCGCTCTCTTCCTAGGGGTCCGTCGACGGTCTGTTCCGCCGCATCTCGCCGCGCCGCGCCGCGTAGAGCGTATAAAAACGTCGCAGGCGTCGCGTTCCTCGCCCGTCAAGTCGACAGTTGACCGTCAAGTCTACCGTTAGCCGTCAAGTGCGCCGGTAACCGTCAAGTGCGCCGGTAACCGTCAAGTGCGCCGGTAACCGTCGGCGAGCATGAGGGCGCTGGTGGCCGTGAAGCGCGTGATCGACTATGCCGCCAAGATCCGCGTCAAGGCGGACGGGGTGAGCTTATAGCGAGGCATGGGAGCTGTGATTTTAGCGGGGATGCGATCATAACGGGGATGGGAATATAGCAGGGATGGAATTAGAGGAAGGATGGGATAATAGCTCCTCTCCACTCCAACCCACACCCTCCCTACCCCCGCCACACACCCCTCTCCTTCCCCCCCTCTCTCTCCTTCCCCCCCCCCCTCTCTCCTCCCCCTTCCCGCCAACCCCTCCTCCCTCCCTCTGCAAAATAGCGATGGAGGGGTGCAGTCCGGTCAAGTCCACTGTTGCCCTTCTTTTCCCCTCCCCAACCAGTCCGGAGTGGAGAAGGCGAGAGTGAAGGTGTCAATGCACCCTTTCTGTGAGATCGCCGTAGAGGAGGCAATACGGTTGACCTCACTGCTCCTCTTCCCTCTCCTCACCCTACCCTCCCCTCCGCTCCCCTCCCTCCCCAACCAGTCCGGAGTGGAGAAGGCGAGGCGAGTGTCAAGGTGTCAATGCACCCCTTCTGTGAAATTGCCGTGGCGGAGGCAATACGGCCCAACGGCCCAAACCCAAGAAGGGGTTGGTTGGGGAGAAGACACAGGGATTGCCGTGTCTGCTCCTCTGCCTGCCTGTGTCCCCATCCTCCCTCTATCAGAGTGGAGTTGAGAAGGCAAGCGTGAAGATGCCAGTCAGTTCCTGTTGTGAGATCGCAGACGGCAATACGGTTGACCTCACTGCTCCTCTTCCCGTTCCCCCCCTTCCCCTTCCCCTCCGCGTCCCCTCCCCAATCAGAGTGGAGTGGAGAAGGCAAGCGTGAAGATGTCAGTGAGTTCCTGTTGTGAGATCGCAGACGGCAATACGGTTGACCTCACTGCTCCTCTTCCCGTTCCCCCCCTTCCCCTTCCCCTCCGCGTCCCCTCCCCAATCAGAGTGGAGTGGAGAAGGCAAGCGTGAAGATGTCAGTGAGTTCCTGTTGTGAGATCGCAGACGGCAATACGGCTCAACCCCCCCTCTTTCCTTCTTCCTATTCTTTTCCCCACTTCCCCTCTTCTGCACTGCCCTCCTCTCCTACCTCTCACCAGTCCGGAGTGGAGAAGGCGAGTGTGAAGATGTCAATGAATCCCTTCTGTGAGATAGCAGTGGAGGAGGCGATACGGCTGAGGGAGAAGGGGGCGATCAAGGAGGTCGTGGCGGTCAGCCTAGGCGTGCAGCAGTGCCAGGACACGCTCAGGTGCGTTCAGTGTAATATATCACCAGAATGTTATAATAGACACGTCGGCTGAGGAAGAAGGGAGCGATCAAGGAGGTGGTGATGGTCAGCCTGGGCGTGCAGCACTGCCAGTACAGGACACACTCAGGTGAAAACAGTGCTGGATGGATGGTTCTTAAGTTTATCACAAGAATGGCTTAAAAGGCTCAACAACACACGTGGGTTGAGAAAGGAGGGGGTGACTGTTAGCCTGGGCGTGCAGCAGCGCCAAGACACGCTCAGGTAGGCACCCACCCACTGGATGAGTTATAAAAAGGTACTACAACAGTGGTGGAAATGACTCAAAACACCTTGGGTAAGCGGAAAAGGAGTGTACAGCAGTGCCCGGACACACGCTCAGGACCGGCCCTGGCCAGTGGCCACCCTGGGAAGGTGTCATTGTAACGAGCTGCCTTTTGAGTCGACTCAAAAGCCACCCTGAGAAGGTGTCATTCGCTCGGGAGGAGGCAATGGAACCCCACGCTTCCTACCCCTCATCCCTCTGCCCTCTACCACCCTCACCTCCGCCCTTTGCCCCTTTCCTCGCTATTTCCCTCCCTGTGCCTCCCTTCAGAACCGCTCTAACCATGGGAGCAGACAGGGCACAGGAGGAGGCCCTGGAGACCTATCAGTCACTCCTCTACCCTCACCATCTGCCCTCTTCCCCCTTTCTCCCTGTTGCTCTCCCCAGAACGGCCCTGGCCATGGGGGCGGACAGGGCGGTACTTGTGAAGGTGGATGCGGCACAGGAGGAGGCGCTGGAGTGGAGTGCTGTCCTATCCTATCCAACCCTCTGCCCTGTTCCTCCTTTATCCCTATTTCTCTCCCCAGAACGGCTCTGGCAATTGGGGCGGACAGGGCGGTACTGGTGAAGGTGGACGCGGCACAGGAGGAGGCGTTGGAGCCTCTTTCCCCATCGCTCACTCCTTGCTCTCTGCTGCTCCTCCCCTGTTTGTGTATGTTGTGTTGATGCAGAACCGCCCTGGCGATGGGAGCAGACAGGGCCGTACTGGTGAAGGTGGATGCGGCACAGGAGGAGGCGCTGAAGTCTCTTTCCCCCCCACCTGTTCACCCCTCCATCCCCACCGTTCACTGCTTCTTCTGTTGTGTTGTTCCCAGAACCGCCCTAGCGATGGGGGCAGACAGGGCGGTGCTGGTGAAGGTGGATGCGGCACAGGAGGAGGCGCTGGAGCCTCTGATCGTGGCGAAGCTGCTCAAAGGGGTTGCTTTGAAAGAGACGGCTGATATGGTGTTCCTGGGGAAGCAGGTATGATGAGTGCTGGTGCTGGTGGTAACGGTTCTGGTGGTGACGGTGCTGGTGGTGCTGAAGTCACTAAGTGCTGCCGCTGGTGTTGGCTAAGCTGCTCAAGGGGGTTGCAGATCTGCTGTTGCTGGGAAAGCAGGTGAGAAGGTTGCTGCTGCAGGTGGTGGTGGTGGCAGTGAGGGCAGTGGTGGTGGCGAAGCTGCTCAAGGGGGTTGCTTTGAAAGGGACGGCTCATATGGTGTTCCTGGGGAAGCAGGTACGATGAGTGTCAGTGGTGGTGCTGGTGGTATTGGTGCTGGTGGTGCTGATAATGGGGAGTGGATTGAAGACAACAAGTGCTGCCTCTGGTGGTGGTGAAGCTGCTCAAGGGGGTTGCATTGAAAGAGACAGCCGACCTGGTGTTCCAGGGAAAACAGGCGAGAGTGTTGGTGGTGATGGCAGTGATGGCAGTGATGCTCTTTCAAGGAGTAAGCTGCTCAAGGGGGTTGCATTGAAAGAGACAGCCGACCTGGTGTTCCAGGGAAAACAGGCGAGAGTGTTGGTGGTGATGGCAGTGATGGCAGTGATGCTTTTTCAAGGAGTAAGCTGCTCAAGGGGGTTGCATTGAAAGAGACAGCCGACCTGGTGTTCCAGGGAAAACAGGTGAGAGTGTTGGTGGTGATGGCAGTGATGGCAGTGATGCTCTTTCAAGGAGTAAGCTGCTCAAGGGGGTTGCATTGAAAGAGACAGCCGACCTGGTGTTCCAGGGAAAACAGGTGAGAGTGTTGGTGGTGATGGCAGTGATGGCAGTGATGCTCTTTCAAGGAGTAAGCTGCTCAAGGGGGTTGCATTGAAAGAGACAGCCGACCTGGTGTTCCAGGGAAAACAGGTGAGAGTGTTGGTGGTGATGGCAGTGATGGCAGTGATGCTCTTTCAAGGAGTAAGCTGCTCAAGGGGGTTGCATTGAAAGAGACAGCCGACCTGGTGTTCCAGGGAAAACAGGCGAGAGTGTTGGTGGTGATGGCAGTGATGGCAGTGATGCTCTTTCAAGGGAGTAAGCTGCTCAAGGGGGTTGCATTGAAAGAGACAGCCGACCTGGTGTTCCAGGGAAAACAGGCGAGAGTGTTGGTGGTGATGGCAGTGATGGCAGTGATGCTCTTTCAAGGAGTAAGCTGCTCAAGGGGGTTGCATTGAAAGAGACAGCCGACCTGGTGTTCCAGGGAAAACAGGTGAGAGTGTTGGTGGTGATGGCAGTGATGGCAGTGATGCTTTTTCAAGGAGTAAGCTGCTCAAGGGGGTTGCATTGAAAGAGACAGCCGACCTGGTGTTCCAGGGAAAACAGGTGAGAGTGTTGGTGGTGATGGCAGTGATGGCAGTGATGCTCTTTCAAGGAGTAAGCTGCTCAAGGGGGTTGCATTGAAAGAGACAGCCGACCTGGTGTTCCAGGGAAAATAGGCGAGAGTGTTGGTGGTGATGGCAGTGATGGCAGTGATGCTCTTTCAAGGAGTAAGCTGCTCAAGGGGGTTGCATTGAAAGAGACAGCCGACCTGGTGTTCCAGGGAAAACAGGTGAGGAGGATTGAAGTCACTATGTGGTCCTGGTGGTGGCGAAGCTGCTCAAAGGGGTCGCACTTGCTGGGAAAGCAGGTGCAGGCGTTGCAGGTGGTGCGGAGGAGTGTGCCTATTGGTGGTGGTGCGTGTGCCTGGTGGGGGATTTTGAAGTGTGAGTGATGCGCACAGGAGACGGGAGACATGAGTGCTGCTGGTGCTGCTGTTGTCTCGTAACCCTCCTCTCACTCTTCTCTCCCCCTTCTCTCCCCCCATGGAGGCAATAGACTACGATTGCAACCAAACGGGGCAAATGCTGGCGGCTCTCCTATTCTCTCTCCCCATCTCACCAACTCACCTCCCTTCTCGCCCCTCCCCTCCCTTCTCTCCCCTCCCTTCCCTCCCTTCCCTTCTTTCCCTCCTCCCCCTTTACCAGGCAATAGACGACGACTGCAACCAGACGGGGCAGATGCTGGTACTGTCCGGTAACCCCCCTCTCACCTCACTCCTCCCCTCCGCCCATTCCCCCCCCTCTCCCTTTTCCCCCCATGTCTGTGCCCCCCATGCAGGCAATAGACGACGACTGCAACCAGACGGGGCAGATGCTGGCAGTGCTGCTGGACTGGCCCCTTCTTACCGCACTTGTCCTCTCCACTCTTTCCGTCCCTCTCACTCCGTTTGTCTCCCACCTCTCCCCCCTTCCCCCCCCCATGCAGGCAATAGACGACGACTGCAACCAGACGGGGCAGATGCTAGCCGCACTGCTGGACTGGCCGCAAGCCACCTTCGCCTCCAAGGTACGCCGCCCAATGTCCCTGTTCGAAACGCGCGTACGCTCAGTCTTGGAATGACATTACTCAATCCGTACCTAGCCTAAGCATAGATTAGTGGAGATTAGAACGATCTAAGTCTGGTGATCTGGGTCGAATCTACTCTTCTCCGCCCAGTATCCCTGTTCAAATGCTCTTCCCAGGTGTTCATTGGGTTGACTGACGTGACTGGGTGAATCTATTCATCACTTCCTTCTTCCCTTCTCCTCCTGCCGCTCTGCTCGCAGTGCTCGGTCACCTGGGACCATGACATGGCCGTCAAACCCATGCCCCTCCTGCCTCTTCTTCCTGCCTCTCCCTGCCCCGTCTTACCCCTGCTCGCGCCTCACCTTCACGCAGTTTTGAGGCGCCTCAAAAGCCTTCAAACCCGTGCCCTTCCTGCCTCTCCCTGCCCCGTCTTACCCCCCCTCGCCCCTCACCTTCACGCAGGTGGTGCTGGATGCGGCAGCTCGCAGCGCACAGGTCACGCGGGAGATTGACGACGGGCTCGAGACCGTCAGCCTCAAGCTGCCAGCTGTCATCACGTGAGTGGTGCTCTGCTGGGATCCTCACGGTCAA